TCGGGTTCAAGTCCGGGCTCTGGCTGGGCCACTCAAGGACATTCAGAGACTTGTCCCGAAGCCACTCCTGCGTTGTCTTGGCTCTGTGCTTAGGGTCATTGTCCTGTTGGAAGGTGAACCTTTGCCCCAGTCTGAGGTCCTGAGCGCTCTGGAGCAGGTTTTCATCAATGATCTCTCTGTACTTTGCTCCGTTCATCTTTCCCTCGATCGCGACTAGTTTCCAAGTCCCTGCCGCTGAAAAACATTCCCACAGCATGATGCTGCCACCACCATGCTTCACTGTAGGGATGGTATTGGCCAGGTGATGAGCGGTGCCTGGTTTCTTCCAGACGTGACGCTTGGCATTCAGGCCAAAGAGTTACATTTTGATTTCATTAGACAAAATAATGTTTCTCATGGTCAGAGTCCTTTAGGTGCCTTTTTGGCAAACTCCAAGCTGGCTGTCATGTACCTTTTACTGAGGAGTGGCTTCCGTCTGGCCACTCTCCCATAAAGGCCTGATTGGTGGAGTGCTGCAGAGATGGTTGTCCTTCTGGAAGTTTCTCCCATCTCCAAAGAGAAACTCTGGAGCTCTAGCATAGTGACCATCGGGTTCTTGGTCACCTCCCTGACCAAGGCCCTTCTCCCCCGATTGCTCAGTTTGGCCGGGCGGCCAGCTCTAGGAAGAGTCTTGGTGGTTTCAAACTTCTTCCGTTTATGAATGATGGAGGCCACTCTGTTCTTGGGGACTTTCAATGCTGCCAAAAAAATGTGGTACCCTTGCCCAGATCTGTGCCTCGACACAATCCTGTCTACGGACAATTCCTTTGACCTCATGGCTTGGTTTTTGCTCTGACATGCACTGTCAACTGTGGGACCTTATATAGACAGGTGTGTGTGCCTTTCCAAATCATGTCCAATCAATTACATTTGCCACAGGTGGACTCCAATCAAGTTGTAGAAACATCTCAAGGATGATAAATGGAATCAGAATGCACCTGAGCTTAATTTCGAGTGTCATAGCAAAGGGTCTGAATACTTATGTAAATAAGATATTTCTGTTTTTTATTTTTTTTATAAATTAGCACAAAAAATATATATATAAACTGTTTTCCGCTTTGTCATTATGGGGTATTGTGTGTAGATTGATGAGGGAAACAAATAATGTAATCAATTTCAGAATAAGGCTGTTACGAAAGCAAAGGGGAAAAACATAATATGAAAGTCATGCCCGCTACCCCCGTTCTTCTTCATGCTTGTTGTGCATGGGACAAAACACAACTGAGCCCCTCTATACAGTGCCTTCAGTAAGTATTCACACCCCTTGACTTTTACCACATTTTGTTGTGTTACAGCCTGAATTTAAAATCTATTTAAATTGAGATTTCTTGTCACTGGCCTACATGTAATACCCCATAATGTCAAAGTGGGATTATGTTTCATTTTCAATACATTTGCCAACATTTCTAAAAACATGTTTTCACTTTGTCATTATGGAGTATTGTGTGTAGATGTGTAAGAAAAATATCTATTTAATAAATGTTGAATTCAGGCTGTAACACATTAAAATGTGGAATAAGTCAAGGGGTATGAATACTTTTGTGTGTGTGTGTGTGAGCGAGAGCGAGAGCTAGCGAGAGAGTAGCCGATATCTCAAGTCCTTAGTGACCCAAATGTCATCTAAAGTGCTACACTCTGTCTCGCGTCTCATAAGACCTGGCCCGTCTTAAGAAAAGGCAGGCATTCAATCTGTCCCAAACCGATATTGGGGGAGCCGAGAACTTGGCCCTGCTTTATTCTGCTGGTCATTTGTGATGGAGGGATTGGATCTGGGATTCATTTCATGTCAGAGACTGAGAGAGTAGCCGAGCAGGTTGCTCAGCTGAGGGCTTTAAAGCAGAGAGAGAGCCACTGTTAGGCACACACTGCCATGGGGTCGGATGGTTATTATTGACTAGTACAGGACCTGCAGTGCCAGAGTTTTGCTGTATCGTAATTAACCCACTTAATAATGGGATTAGCATGTTAGCAGTCTCACCTTCCTCCCCATAGAAGTGTGTTGTGAGGTAATTAATAGTAGCGTGATTTTGAATACAGATTTGGGGGAGTGAGGTGCCAGGGGATGTGCTGTGATTATCCTTATTACAGGATGTTAGTTTACGTGTGTGTGTGTGCCCAGTCTGTCATCATCTGGATACAGGCTGGGTCATCTGGATACAGGCTGGGTCATCTGGATACAGGCTGGGTCATCTGGATACAGGCTGGGTCATCTGGATACAGGCTGGGTCATCTGGATACAGGCTGGGTCATCTGGATACAGGCTGGGTCATCTGGATACAGGCTGGGTCATCTGGATAATCTCTAATAATGTAGTCACATGTGTATGAGTTTTGTAAAGGGGCTGTGTCACATGGTGTGTATAATAACCAAGTGTTCACAATTACATGTTTGGTCACCGTTGTTCATGGTAAGTGGTGTGTATCATCGTGACGTGTGTGTATGTGTGTAGGTTATGGCGTGTTGACGGTGCCCTGTGCAGCATATGGGTGTCCATATGTTTACTGAGGTGGGGTGGAAACGCAACAACAACTTCGCTGTTGGCTAATCGGCTCCCGCACACACACATACTCACTCACACACACACACACACACACACACACACACACACACACACACACACACACACACACACACACACACACACACACATACACACACACACACAAACAAACACAGATGCAGAGGCCCTGTCAAGTAGACTCAGTTTAATCCTTATCTTGCATTTCAGGCAATTCAGCACCTCTCTACCTCCTACTGGTCTTGTTTCAGCTCACCACGTCCTCTATCTCAGTCTCTTGTCTCTGTCACTTTCTCTCTCCCACTCCAGACAATGTAATCAAATCATGAGCGATTTGGACACAGGTAATGTTCAGGAGTTGGCATTTGGTGTAATAAGCTATTAAGGACATTCCAACATTTCACATTATAGTCACTGCAGAGGACGCTATCACTCTAATAGCATTGTAGGAGGTTATGACCACACCTAGGAGCCCTCTGAAACCCTGTTGTTGGGTTTGGATGTTTGTTTTCTCCTTTCTCTTGGGCGACTCCTCTTTTAACCTTGTCAACATGTCTCTGACCCTGTTCTGGCTGAACAAGTGGGCTGTTGGTCAGACAGGATTAGACGTTCAGGTCCTTTTAAAGAGCTGCTCGCTCTCCCTCTCCCTCTCTCAAAGTAGCTGTTTAACAGCAACAACACCAACAACAGCATTATGTCTTCACTAATGCCATCTGTACCATTTTTGCATCATTACTCTCTACTAGATCTGTTTTGGATAGTTCCCCCCCCCCCCCCCCTATATATTTTGACCAATGGTATCTGGACCCATAAATCCCATAAAGTGGTGTTTTTAATCTGGCTAAAATGTATTGTTGAAAGCAGCCCATTAACAACCTCCACCCTAATCTACCAACTCAGGAAATCCTGCTGTATAAGCCAGCATTGTTTTATTCAGGTCTTATCCCCACCGCATCAACTTTGCATGGAACTCTCTGAAAATCCTGTTGCGTACCAACCCTTTCACCGCCTGTGGCCGTACACAGTAAACGCAGTGTCTGCAGCAAAGGCCTACATATGTGCACCCGTATCCTCACAGGACCATTTGGCATAGAAAGCTTAATAAGGGCCATATGTTGTCTCCGTGGTGACGCGGATGTATTCTTGTAACACACACGCACTCTCTTAGCTGTGCTGTCTGACATCGTGCTTCCTGATTGCTCCGCTGTCAAGGGATTAGGCCTCAAATCTCTGGTTTTAGACACACGCCACCTCACCTCCCCACTGTCCCAGCCCCGGCCACACGGCCCACACCGGGATTTACTGTCAGTCTACAGTAAGCCACCAAGAAGCAATGGTGCCACTGGCTTCTTCTTCTAGGGCCAACGTGCCTCACAAGCTGACCTGATTAGTTTGGAAGATAACCAGGGCTAGCTTTGTTTTTTTCCGCGTTTGCGTTGATGGACACCACTCGCAGCCGAAGGGAGAGTGATGCGTAGGTGTAGCAAAGCCTCTCTTCATCCCAGAGGAAGACCACCCATGGGAGGATTGTTTTACTTTGATTATAGTGGATTGATAGAAATTCAAGTCAAGTCTCCAGTCTTTCCCCAAGCTGCATGGTAGAATGAAACCTCAATGCTGACCTCGCAGAGAAAGTATGGGAAATGGGAATAGGCAGTTCATTTGCCCCTTTGAGATCTGACCAAATCTTTACCATAAGGTACGGCTCCTCGTAGACCCCCCACCCCTTCTGATTTCTGAGGAATTTGATGTAACTGCCTGCCTGAACCTGTCAAACAAGTCTGGGTTTTTGGCAGCCATATTCTGCTTGGTCTTGTGGTTGTGATGACATTGATGTCCGCTGTTGAGCTATTTAAGGGTTTTGCAGCATGTGTTTTCAGTTTAGGATGCTGAATTCCCATCAAAAACCAAGACCTCTCCTTAATTTGGACGAGCAATCGAGCACATGTACGCCATCTCCCCTTGGCAAGGATCCACCACAGAATAGACTCCCCTTTGTCTCCCCACCACCCTTACTGATTCAAGTGTCTTGTGAGTGTGTCTCAGTAACATAGCCCCAACATTGTTGTATGTTATGGCCCTCTCTGACTTTCAGGCTAGTGTCTGTGACATAGCGTGTCTCTAAGCCAGAGAGCTGTTACATCTGGCCTGTTTGCCTGTGCCACTTAGTTGGACTATAATGTAGGCCAGACGGTTGGCTTACTTATTCGAGATAGCTATATGTTTTAGAGGGTTTTAGCTTGGGTTTTTCTGGTGGCCGATAAGCGATGCATTTGGAGCAAGCTTCTGTCAGTCAGTGGTTTTCTGTTTCTGAAACTGGACAATGTAATTTGGACAGAACATTCTGGATACACTCCATGATGTTGTATAACAAGTCATAATGCTATCTTCCTGCCATAGTGTTTCATGGAGAATGTGGTTTGTACTTTTTGCCTTTCACAGAGTGTGCTTGGCCCCGAGGCAGAATCTCCCACGGATCATCCTCAAAGGAATATTCCAGGGGGTGAAAGTGGTACGCGGACCTGACTGGGACTGGGGAAACCAAGACGGTGAGGGAGTGAGCGGAGCAATCCATCCATACCGACCAGGGCCTCTTGTTTACCAGTGTTGTTGTTCCAACTGTTTCACCATGACCCCATAACCTCATTCCATTATCTCTAATGTTCTCTCATTACCCTACAAACTGACAGTGTGAACTGGTGTGTTTGTGCTTCAGGATTCTTTCCCAGCCCAAAAGGGTCTCATTGAGTCTGTTTAACAGATGTTTCTTAACGAGCTGTGTTCACATGAGCAAGGTTTATTTTTCCTTTCGTACCGTTTACCCTATAGTGTAGTGGAATATAGCAAGAAGTCACATGAATTCGAATTATAGCATGTGTTGCATCTCTGGGGAGGAACAAATTGTCTTTGGGGTTATTTAGTTAGTTTTGGGACATGGTTTTTGTGGCTACTGTGCTGTTGGGTTTCTGTGGGTTTGCATAACATTTCGAGTCAAGAGAATTTGTCTCTCAATGGCAAATCATTAGTGAAGAAACAGATTTTCCATACAAGTACTAACTTAACTCTTCGCAGGATCTCCGTCTGTGCAAAGTTTGATAATTGCTCCTGTTTCTTTCATTTTCAAAACCCTTGAATATCATTGCCTTTAGGGCTGGAGAAATCTGTCATTAGCTCTTTGTATTACCTAATGTGGGGTCAGAACCGGGAATGGCATTGGGTCCTCTCTGTGCTAAAGCACTGGCGAATGAGTCAAAATGTCCTATGCTGTCTTTGAAAGTGAACCTCTGGGGTCTAAGTCAGTCATCATCAGTCTTTACGCAGCATACGGTAAGTGCATAGGGACATTCTGGGTATGCTCAGAAGAGAGGCTGTCCCTTTCCTGAGTCCTGTCCTGAACTGAGGTTACCTGGCAGGCTGTGTAATCCTTGATGACATTGTAATCCTTGATGTAACTGTTAACCTGCATAACCTAGGCTATACAATGCCAAGCTCTCTATGTTTGTGGTGGAAACTGAATGTAGTATTTGATGACATTTGACCTTGAAGCCTGTCAGTATGTAATAAAGTAGATGCGTAGTGGTAGTAAATCAATGTATTTTATATTGTGTCTGGTACAGTAGTCTGAGAATGTGAGTGATGCTAGCCCCAGCCTCTAAGTGTGCTTTGTTTTGTGTTATTCTTTGTTTGGTCTCTCACTTCTAACCAGAATCAAAGGGATGATTGGAGAAACGTTGAAAGACAGCCAATGTTCACTGTCTGTTTAGATTGTTATCCATTTAGATTGGTCTTTGAAGACCTTTTCAGCATCCAGAGCACAGATTGGAGTCATGATCCTTACTTGTTGTTTCTTATTTTCAGTATGTGATGTTGAATTAGCCAAGTCTAGAATTGACAAGATTCCTGTACCAGAGTGTGGTCTTTGTGCTGTGTGTTCCCACAAAAAGGTTGACCATGTGGATGTGAAACAATGATGGGCACCATTTCCTGTTTTAACACTGGGTGCGTTCGTAAATTCACTCTGGCTATCTACTCCGATTTCAGAGCACTCTCGTCAGTGTGCCAGAACGCAGAATAACTGATGAATTTATGAACGCGCAACACCCATTGAATATGACCGGTATCAGTAAATGTTGTCAAAAAACATAACTAAATTGTTGCCAGCAGCACAGTTAGTCACCAATGCTCTAGATAACATGAAACCAGTCTAACCAGCTCTGCTAGGGCGAGTAAAATGGTCGGAGTGAGGTGTTCTCTCATTTGTATCTGGAAGTAGCTAGCAAGCTAGCCAACTTTAGCCAGTGAGCTTGGGTGCTTTACTGCAGTTGAAGTCAAAACGCTCGGGTCAACCCTACTCCAATGCCAGAGTGTCCAGTGTACGCTCAGAGAGCGAAACGCTCTGAATTTACGAACGGACAATCTGACAAATGCCCAAAGTGCACTCTGATCGCACTCTGGCACTCCAATTAATTTACGAACACACCCATTGTGTCTTTGAAGGGGTAATTTCCTGCCTGTGCACAGACTCAAACTACACAAAATATAATTGTTTCCATTGTGTTTGATATATTCACCCTAACTATTTATCTTCTCATCATTCCTAATTTTTCCCCAATAAGCCTATTTTACTCTTGCTCTCTTCGGTCTTTCTCTCCTCCCACACTCCTACACTGTGTGTGCAGGAGGAGAGGGTAAGGTTGGAAAGGTGGTGGACATCCGTGGCTGGGACACAGAGTCCGGTCGTAGTGTGGCCAGTGTCACCTGGTCCAATGGCACCACCAATGTCTACCGATTGGGTCACAAGGGCAAGGTAGACCTCAAATATGTGTCGGACGTCCAGGGAGGCTTCTACTACAAAGACCACCTACCAAAGCTCGGTATGAACCAAGGGGGATAGACTTTAAGTTTCTACCTGTTGTTAAGGATTCATGCTTGTTTTCGTAATTCATCAAATAGTATATGTATCCTACAGATCAATATGAAAGCACTGCAGTAGAGTTGGCCTATGTTGTCACGTGTGTGTTTTTATCTATGGTTTATGTGTACACAGGTGAGCATGCAGAACTGCAGAGGCAGGAGAGTGCAGAAGGCCACACCTTCAACCAGGGGGACAAGGTGAAGTGTCTCCTGGAGGTGGACATCCTCAGACAGATGCAAGAGGGCCACGGAGGGTGGAACCCCAAAATGGCAGAGGTACTAAACTAAACTCCCTCCAAGTCAAATAGTGGAATTTCTGATATAATCTTATCAAAAGAGTCTGACCTCATTCCAAGCTTTCTCCAGTCGTAGAACTACTTTGAAGTGTTTGCCACGTTGTCACTGCATGTGCTATGTTATTTTATTTTTTATTTAACCTTTATTTAACTAGGCAAGTCAGTTAAGAACAAATTCTTATTTACAATGACGGCCTACCCCGGCCAAACCCTAACCCGGACGACGCTGGGCCAATTGTGCGCCACCCTATGGGACTCCCAATCACGGCCGGTTAAGATACAGCCTGGAATCGAATCAGGGTCTGTAGTGACGCCTCTAGCACTGAGATGCAGTGCCTTAGACCGCTGCTCCACTCGGGAGCCCCGAGTTAGACAAGTACTGCTTCAAATTCTGAGTACCGTATCCCCATTTTGAACCTTTGAACCCAGGTTTATGTAACGTCGCCGGTGTGAATGGTCTCTGGTGTGCAATAGAACAAAATCAACAAGCACGTGTTACTTTCAAATCAATGGAGCCAGCGAAATGACAATGCCAAGGCCGGCCACAATCTGCGACTGCAAATCAAATCTGATTTGTGTGTTTACAGTACATCTGTAAAATTGGGATGGTACACAGAATCACTGACCGGGGAGATGTCCGAGTCCAGTACAGCAACAACATCCGCTGGACTTTCCACCCAGGTGCCCTGACCAAGGTACTCTAGCTCTACCAGTGAGAAATTAATACAGGCTCACAGCATGGTCTTATACTGTAGGTTAGCATTAGCTAGCGATGTGATGCTAATAAAATCAAATTTGAATGGTCACATACACATATTTAGCAGATGTTATTGCGGGTGTAGCGAAATGCTTGTGTTCCTAACTCCAACAGTGCAGTAGTATCTAACAATTCACAACAATACACAGAAATCTAAAAGTAAAATAATGGAATTAAGAAATATATACAGTGGGGGAAAAAAGTATTTAGTCAGCCACCAATTGTGCAAGTTCTCCCACTTAAAAAGATGAGGCCTGTAATTGTCATCATAGGTACACATCAACTATGACAGACAAAATGAGGAAAACATTTCCAGAAAATCACATTCTAGGATTTTTTATGAATTTATTTGCAAATGATGGTGGAAAATAAGTATTTGGTCAATAACAAAAGTTTCTCAATACTTTGTTATATACCCTTTGTTGGCAATGACACAGGTCAAACGTTTTCTGTAAGTCTTCACAAGGTTTTCACACACTGTTGCTGGTATTTTGGCCCATTCCTCCATGCAGATCTCCTCTAGAGCAGTGATGTTTTGGGGCTGTCGCTGGGCAACACGGACTTTCAACTCCCTCCAAAATGTTCTATGGGGTTGAGATCTGGAGACTGGCTAGGCCACTCCAGGACCTTGAAATGCTTCTTACGAAGCCACTCCTTCGTTGCCCGGCGGTGTGTTTGGGATCATTGTCATGCTGAAAGACCCAGCCACGTTTCATCTTCAATGCCCTTGCTGATGGAAGGAGGTTTTCACTCAAAATCTCACGATACATGGCCCCATTCATTCTTTCCTTTACACGGATCAGTCGTCCTGGTCCCTTTGCAGAAAAACAGCCCCAAAGCATGATGTTTCCACCCCCATGCTTCACAGTAGGTATGGTGTTCTTTCGATGCAACTCAGCATTCTTTGTCCTCCAAACACGACAAGTTGAGTTTTTACCAAAAAGTTATATTTTGGTTTCATCTGACCATATGACATTCTCCCAATCCTCTTCTGGATCATCCAAATGCACTCTAGCAAACTTCAGACGGGCCTGGACATGTACTGGCTTAAGCAGGGGGACACGTCTGGCACTGCAGGATTTGAGTCCCTGGCGGCGTAGTGTGTTACTGATGGTAGGCTTTGTTACTTTGGTCCCAGCTCTCTGCAGGTCATTCACTAGGTCCCCCCGTGTGGTTCTGGGATTTTTGCTCACCGTTCTTGTGATAATTTTGACCCCACGGGGTGAGATCTTGTGTGGAGCCCCAGATCGAGGGAGATTATCAGTGGTCTTGTATGTCTTCCATTTCCTAATAATTGCTCCCACAGTTGATTTCTTCAAACCAAGCTGCTTACCTATTGCAGATGCAGTCTTCCCAGCCTGGTGCAGGTCTACAATTTTGTTTCTGGTGTCCTTTGACAGCTCTTTGGTCTTGGCCATAGTGGAGTTTGGAGTGTGACTGTTTGAGGTTGTGGACAGGTGTCTTTTATACTGATAACAAGTTCAAACAGGTTCCATTAATACAGGTAACGAGTGGAGGACAGAGGAGCCTCTTAAAGAAGAAGTTACAGGTCTGTGAGAGCCAGAAATCTTGCTTGTTTGTAGGTGACCAAATACTTATTTTCCACCATAATTTGCAAATAAATTCATTAAAAATCCTACAATGTGATTTTCTGGATTTTTTTTTCTCAATTTGTCTGTCATAGTTGACGTGTACCTATGATGAAAATTACAGGCCTCTCATCTTTTTAAGTGGGAGAACTTGCACAATTGGTGGCTGACTAAATACTTCTTTTCCCCAATGTAAATATTAGGATGAGCAATGTCGGAGTGGCATTGACTTAAATACAGTAGAATAGAATACAGTATATACATATGAGTTGAGTAAAGCAGTATGTAAACATTAAAGTGACTAGTGTTCCATTATTAAAGTGGCCAGTGATTCCATGTCTATGTATATAGGGCAGCAGCCTCTGAGGTGCAGGGTTGAGTAACCGTGTGGTAGCCGGCTAGTGATGGCTATTTAACAGTCTCATGGCCTTGAGATAGAAGCTGTTTTTCAGTCTCTCGGTCCCAGCTTTGATGCACCTGTACTGACCTCGCCATCTGGATGATAACAGGGTGAACAGGCCGTGGCTTGGGTGGTTGATGTCCTTGATAATCTTTTTGGCCTTCCTGTGACATCGGGTGCTGTAGGTGTCCTGGATGCTGACAGATTAGCATTAGCATCACATCGCTAACAATTTGCTGTCTTCTTCCCCTTTCTTGCCGTAGGTGAACACGTTTGGTGTGGGCGAGCTGGTTCGAGTACTGGAAGACATAGACAGCGTAAAGAGGCTTCAGGCTGGCCACGGAGAATGGACAGACAGCATGGCACCAGTACGTTGACATAGGCAGAGGCTAACTACCTGTAGCCTGATGCTAACTTCCTGTAGCCTAACTGAGTGGGGAGGGGGAAACTGAAAACTAGCTGTTATTGGCAGAGAGGTTTCGAACTCTCTTTCTTATTAAGGCATCAGCATGCTTCAGTTGAGCGGGCACCTAGCCGAACTCGGCTAGCCGAACTGAACGAGTGTGCTCGCATACTCCCTTAAAAGACCTTCACTTGAAAAATGAGAAAAAAGCGACAATAGTACTGTTTGTCCATTTTAAGATGCTGTAGTCAAAATAGTCAGAATTAATCTAAGATAACTCAAGTAATATGTCATTAATTTTGACGTTTTTGCCGAACAGATCTTAGTCAATCTTAGCAATTTTACATCTAACTATGTTGTTTGGTGCAATATTTCTTTATGAAAAATTGTACATGAAAACGAGTCATCTCTCGTTGAATGACAACAAAGACTTTATTGAAGAATCTTTACTGTTGACCAATCACTGACTTGTGGTGTAGACTTCAGCTCCGAACTTCAGCTTGCCTCCAGAAAAAATGTTGTGTACCCTCACCGAAGGGTGACATCACAAAATGTCATCATAATATATGCACAAACTCTACCGAACTGTTTCGGCTAGGAAGCATGCAGACTCCTTTAGTCTATTAACTAATTTACCGCCTGGTGATCTCACCATCCCACCAAAACAGGCTGACATTTCAAGCCGTCTTTTCAAACAGCTCTTACACTAAAAGCATATTATCATTTTCACAATTTCACAGAATTTTTGCAACCTCATAGTGTGGAAATAATTATATATAAAACACAGGAAAATCTAGTTTTTGACTTCACTGGGCCTTCAAGGCTTCTGCGAAAGCAAAGCATCTTGATTATTTACCGATAAATAAAAGCCCTGAGAATTTCCCTGAGTGGCATGGATAACTGAAAAGAGTGCATTTGAGATGGCAAGATGAATCAAGGTTTGATGGAGGTTCTTTGAAATTATAATATAATAATAATAATATGCCATTTAGCAGACGCTTTTATCCAAAGCGACTTACAGTCATGCGTGCATACATTTTTGTGTATGGGTGGTCCCGGGGATCGAACCCACTACCTTGGCGTTACAAGCGCCGTGCTCTACCAGCTGAGCTACGGACTCCCTCTCCTCTCATTCATGGCATGTGATAGGTGTTTATACCTAATATACCTAATATCTTGTCATATCAGTGGTCGTGATGGAAAGGACATTTGAAACTGTAATGGGAAAGAGTCCATAGGCCCGCCTACCTATCTGGTGTCCTAACACTGTCAGTACCACTGTCTTTTCACTCTCCCCCCTCCCCCCTCTCTCCTCTGCCCCCCCCACCCCTCTTCCTCCTTCTGTTTTTTACACCCCCTCCTTTCTCCTCTCCGATCAGGCCCTGGGGCAGATGGGCAAGGTGCTGAAGGTGTACGCCGACGGGGACCTGCGCGTGGCCTTTGGCGGCCAGACGTGGACCTTTAACCCGGCATGCCTCTCGGCCCAAACCGTGGAGGTGGACGCCAACCTCATGACCGCCGAAAACCCCAATGAATCCGGAAGTAAGGACTACTGAGACCTTGCAAAAAGGAGGAAGGGGGCCTCTTATCCAACAGTCATCCAGCGACCTCTGCTTTTTGTCCTTCCTTCCCCTTATTCTCACTGAACCCCCGCCACCCCTCCCTCTTCTTCCAGCACTCTTGCTGCAAGCCATGCATGCACTACTGGCCAAGGGCTGTGACAGTGGCTGTCTGTTGCATAGACGGCCAATCATAACACTGTTTCTCCTGGTCACTGTCTGACCAACGGGTTTCATTTGCACATCATTTGCATGTCTCTGAAATGTCTGGTTTCTCTCTCAGTATCATGTCCCTGCATGTTGGAGGGAAGCTCCACAGGCCCCATCAGCATATGTGCCTCTACTGCTCCTCGTGTGTATATGAATGTGTGGTTCTCCTACCAGTCTTGAGTGCCCTGACTCAATCCCCCCTCTTTCTGTGTCCGTCATATTCATCATGGTGGAACAGAGAGTGGTGACGAGAGGCTCGTAATGCTGGGTTAGGGTGCACGGGGACATTTTGACTCATTCCAATGGTTGTACTTTGACTTGACTTTACAAATCGTCTTGGTAACTCTGTGTGTATGTATGTGCTCTCTGGGTTTAGAGGGTCCTGGAGGGCAACGCAGCACAAACTATGTATGTTCCCCACGCTCTCGAATCCTTCAATAACATGTCACACTCTCTTTCTTCTCTCTCTTTCTACTTTCTCCTTCCCTTGCTCTTTATTCCTCTACATTGTCTTTTCTCACTCTCCGCCTTTTTTCTTCGGCCTCGATTCCCTATCTTCTCTCTCTCTCTCTCTCTCTCTCTGTCTCTCTCTCTCATCTCCAGACACAGTCATTTCAGTCCTGGAAAAGCTGCTGTCTCAGTCTACAGAGCAGGACAACCCCAGCCGGCTGGTAATCGAGGCGGCGCATGGCAGTGCCAACAAAGTCAGAGAGCTAGTGCAGAAATACCCTGACAAGGTGCGCTCACTCCCCGCCTGCTACCACAGACTGTGTGTGTGTTACATCTCTTAATGTGATTGTGTGTGTTACATCTCTTAATGTGATGGTGTGTGTTACATCTCTTAATGTGATTGTGTGTGTTACATCTCTTAATGTGATGGTGTGTGTTACATCTCTTAATGTGATTGTGTGTGTTACATCTCTTAATGTGATGGTGTGTGTTACATCTCTTAATGTGATTGTGTGTGTTACATCTCTTAATGTGATTGTGTGTGTTACATCTCTTAATGTGATTGTGTGTGTTACATCTCTTAATGTGATTGTGTGTGTTACATCTCTTAATGTGATTGTGTGTGTTACATCTCTTAATGTGATTGTGTGTGTTACATCTCTTAATGTGATTGTGTGTGTTACATCTCTTAATGTGATGGTGTGTGTTACATCTCTTAATGTGATTGTGTGTGTTACATCTCTCCAGGTGGATATAAAGAACCAGGGCAAGACGGCGCTGCAGGTGGCAGCCCACCAGGGCCACATGGAGGTGGTCCTGGCTCTGCTGCAGGCCAACAGCTCCATGGAGGTGAAGGATGAGGACGGAGACACCGCCCTGCACTACACAGCCTTTGGGTGAGAGGAGCACACAGACACACGGGCCATCTGAAGGTGGCCAGTCTAAACCCTGTATTCAAATTGTCAGCAAACAAGTTATGGGGGAGGGGTTATCTGGATTTAATTGGATTTGGGCTTGTCCATTTCTCCAGCTGGGGTGCATTGGGTTCAGTAAAATCACTCCACACCCACAGAAACAGACACAGACAGGCATTACTTTTGTCCCTAATCCTCCACACGACAGAGAACAGGGATTAGGTAGGCAGCTTTAGATTCCATCTATGAGAATATGAGCCATTGATGGGATTTACAAGTATCCCTTGGGTCTCTCAGTGGTTACATGGCAAGTAAACAAGCATCAGCTTTGGGATGGATCTGTTATGAGACTCATGTAGTGGGTTTTTTATTCAGGCCTGCGCGTTTTAGTGGTTCCCTGTCCATTTTCAATTCATTCCAATCCGGTGAGGCTTTATTGGTGTGGAACTCATAGGTAAATATTGCCAAAGCTGAAATTCATTATCAGAATGAGTAAATAAAAAATAATATGAAAATGCATTGAATGATGCATATTGAAATTAATATGCTAAGTAGATATGAAAAATGATTATGCTTAGACCTAAGTGTGTGTGTGTGTGTGTGTGTGTGTGTGTGTGTGTATGCAGGAACCAGGCGGAGATTGCGCGTCTGCTGCTGAGCAAAGGGGCCAACGTGAACCTACTGAACAACTCCATGTGCACGGCGCTGCACATAGCCGTCAACAAGGGCTTCACCGACGTGGTGCGCGTGCTGTCGGAACACTTGGCCGACGTCAACCTACAGGTCAGTACCCACTAATAAGAATGACATTACCTGCGCCTGAAATGGCGTCCTATTCCCTATATAATTCACTACTTTTGTTCATGCTTTCTACTGTCATGCTCACTGCCCATACATAGAAAAGGCAGACAGATTTATTTTACCTAGGAGCAAAAGACAATGTTACTGCAGATAATTTTTACCTTCTGCTATGAAGCTTTTTAACAAACACTTTATATATATATATATATATATATATATATATATATATACAGTTGAAGTCGGAGGTTTACATACACCTTAGCCAAATACATTTAAACTCTGTCTTTCACAATTCCTGACATTTAATCCTAGTAAAGATTCCCTGTTTTAGGTCAGTTAGGATCACCACTTTATTTTAAGAATGTTAAATGTCAGAATAATAGTAAAGAGAATGATTTATTTCAGCTTTTATTTCTTTCATCACATTCCCAGTGGGTCAGAAGTTTACATACACTCAGTTAGTATTTGGTAGCATTGCCTTTAAATTGTTTAACTTGGGTCAAATGTTTCGGGTAACCTTCCACAAGCTTCCCACAATAAGTTGGGTGAATTTTGGCCCATTCCTCCTGACAGAGCTGGTGTAACTGAGTCTGGTTTGTAGGCCTCCTTGCTCGCACACACCTTTTCAGTTCTTCCCACACATTTTCTATAGGATTGAGGTCAGGGCTTTGTGATGGCGACTCCAATACCTTGACTTTGTTGTCCTTAAGCCATTTTGCCACAACTTTGGAAGTATGCTTGGGGTCATTGTCCATTTGAAAGACCCATTTGCGACCAAGCTTTAACTTCCTGACTGATGTCTTGAGATGTTGCTTCAATATATCCACATAATTTTCCTTCCACATGATGCCATCTATTTTGTGAAGTGCACCAGTCCCTTCTGCAGCAAAGCACCCCCACAGCATGATGCTGCCACCTCCGTGCCTCACGGTTGGGAGGTGTTCTTCGGCTTGCAAGACCCCCCTTTTTCCTCCAAACATAACAATGGTCATTATGGCCAAACAGTTCTATTTTTGTTTCATCAGACCAGAGGACATTTCTCAAAAAATACGATCTTTGTCCCCATGTGCAGTTGCAAACCGTAGTCTGGCTTTTTTATGACTGTTTTGAAGCAGTGGCTTCTTCCTTGCTGAGCGGCCTTTCAGGTTATGTCGATATAGGACTCGTTTTACTGTGGATATAGATACTTTTGTACCTGTTTCCTCCAGCATCTTCACAAGGTCCTTTGCTGTTGTTCTGGGATTGATTTGCACTTTTCGCACCAAAGTACGTTCATCTCTAGGAGACAGAACGCATCTCCTTCCTGACCGGTATGATGGCTGTGTGGTCCCATGGTGTTTATACTTGCGTACTATTGTTTGTCCAGATGAACATGGTACCTTCAGGCGTTTGGAAATTGCTCCCAAGGATGAACCAGACTTGTGGAGGTCTACAATTTATTTTCGGAGGTCTTGGCTGATTTATTTTGATTTTCCCATGATGTCAAGCAAAGAGGCACTGAGTTTGAAGGTAGGCCTTGAAATACATCCACAGGTACACCTCCAATTGACTCAAATGATGTCAATTAGCCTATCAGAAGCTTCTAAAGCCATGACATCATTTTCTGGAATTTTCCAAGCTGTTTAAAGGCACAGTCAACTTAGTGTATGTAAACTTCTGACCCATTGGAATTGTGATACAGTGAATTATAAGTGAAATAGTCTGTCTGTAAACAATTGTTGGAAAAATTACTTGTGTCATGCACAAAGTAGATGCCCTAACCGACTTGCCAAAACTATAGTTTGTTAACAGGAAATGTGTGGAGTGGTTGAAAAACGAGTTTTAATGACTCCAACCTAAGTGTATGTAAACTTCCGACTTCAACTGTATACAGTGGGGAGAACAAGTATTTGATACACTGCCGATTTTGCAGGTTTCCCTACTTACAAAGCATGTAGAGCTATCATAGGTACACTTCAACTGTGAGAGACGGAATCTAAAACAAAAATCCAGAAAATCACATTGTATGATTTTTTAAGTAATTAATTTGCATTTTATTACATGACATAAGTATTTGATACATCAGAAAAGCAGAACTTAATATTTGGTACAGAAACCTTTGTTTGCAATTACAGAGATCATACGTTTCCTGTAGGTCTTGACCAGGTTTGCACACACTGCAGCAGGGATTTTGGCCCACTCCTCCATACAGACCTTCTCCAGATCCTTCAGGTTTCGGGGCTGTCGCTGGGCAATACAGACTTTCAGCTCCCTCCAAAGATGTTCTATTGGGTTCAGGTCTGGAGACTGGCTAGACCACTCCAGGATCTTGAGATGCTTCTTACGGAGCCACTCCTTAGTTGCCCTGGCTGTGTGTTTCGGGTCGTTGTCATGCTGGAAGATCCAGCCACGACCCATCTTCAATGCTCTTACTGAGGGAAGGAGGTTGTTGGCCAAGATCTCGCGATACATGGCCCCATCCATCCTCCCCTCAATACGGTGCAGTCGTCTTGTCCCCTTTGCAGAAAAGCAAAATCGGCAGTGTATCAAATACTTGTTCTCCCCACTGTATATACAGTGGGGGGAAAAAGTATTTAGTCAGCCACCAATTGTGCAAGTTCTCCCACTTAAAAAGATGAGAGAGGCCTGTAATTTTCATCATAGGTACACGTCAACTATGACAGACAAATTGAGGAAAAAAATCCAGAAAATCACATTGTAGGATTTTTAATGAATTTATTTGCAAATTATGGTGGAAAATAAGTATTTGGTCACCTACAAACAAGCAAGATTTCTGGCTCTCACAGACCAGTAACTTCTTCTTTAAGAGGCTCCTCTGTCCTCCACTCGTTACCTGTATTAATGGAACCTGTTTGAACATGTTATCAGTATAAAAGACACCTGTCCACGACCTCAAACAGTCACACTCCAAACTCCACTATGGCCAAGACCAAAGAGCTGTCAAAGGACACTAGAAACAAAATTGTAGACCTGCACCAGGCTGGGAGGACTGAAGATCTCACCCCGTGGGGTCAAAATGATCACAAGAACGGTGAGCAAAAATCCCAGAACCACACGGGGGGACCTAGTGAATGACCTGCAGAGAGCTGGGACCAAAGTAACAAAGCCTACCATCAGTAACACACTACGCCGCCAGGGACTCAAATCCTGCAGTGCCAGACGTGTCCCCCTGCTTAAGCCAGTACATGTCCAGGCCCGTCTGAAGTTTGCTAGAGTGCATTTGGATGATCCAGAAGAGGATTGGGAGAATGTCATATGGTCAGATGAAACCAAAATAGAACTTTTTGGTAAAAACTCAACTCGTCGTGTTTGGAGGACAAAGAATGCTGAGTTGCATCCAAAGAACACCATACCTACTGTGAAGCATGGGGGTGGAAACATCATGCTTTGGGGCTGTTTTTCTGCAAAGGGACCAGGACGACTGATCCGTGTAAAGGAAAGAATGAATGGGGCCATGTATCGTGAGATTTTGAGTGAAAACCTCCTTTCATCAGCAAGGGCATTGAAGATGGAACGTGGCTGGGTCTTTCAGCATGACAATGATCCCAAACACACCGCCCGGGCAACGAAGGAGTGGCTTCGTAAGAAGCATTTCAAGGTCCTGGAGTGGCCTAGCCAGTCTCCAGATCTCAACCCCATAGAAAATCTTTGGAGGGAGTAGAAAGTCTGTGTTGCCCAGCGACAGCCCCAAAACATCACTGCTCTAGAGGAGATCTGCATGGAGGAATGGGCCAAAATACCAGCAACAGTGTGTGAAAACCTTGTGAAGACTTACAGAAAACGTTTGACCTGTGTCATTGCCAACAAAGGGTATATAACAAAGTATTGAGAAACTTTTGTTATTGACCAAATACTTATTTTCCACCATAATTTGGAAATTAATTCATAAAAAATCCTACAATGTGATTTTCTGGAGAAAAAAAATCTCATTTTGTCTGTCATAGTTGATGTGTACCTATGATGAAAATTACAGGCCTCTCTCATCTTTTTAAGTGGGTGAACTTGCACAATTGGTGGCTGACTAAATACTTTTTTCCCCCACTGTATATATATATACAGTGAGGGAAAAAAGTATTTGATCCCCTGCTGATTTTGTACGTTTGCCCACTGACAAAGACATGATCAGTCTATAATTTTAATGGTAGGTTTATTTGAACAGTGAGAGACAGAATAAGAACAAAAAAATCCAGAAAAACGCATGTCAAAAATGTTTTAAATTGATTTGCATTTTAATGAGGGAAATAAGTATTTGACCCCTCTGCAAAACATGACTTAGTACTTGGTGGCAAAACCCTTGTTGGCAATCACAGAGGTCAGACGTTTCTTGTAGTTGGCCACCAGGTTTGCACACATCTCAGGAGGGATTTTGTCCCACTCCTCTTTGCAGATCTTCTCCAAGTCATTAAGGTTTCGAGGCTGACGTTTGGCAACTCGAACCTTCCGCTCCCTCCACAGATTTTCTATGGGATTAAGGTCTGGAGACTGGCCAGGCCACTCCAGGACCTTAATATGCTTTTTCTTGAGCCACTCCTTTGTTGCCTTGGCCATGTAGTTTGGGACAAAGAGTTCAATCTTGGTTTCGTCAGACCAGAGAATCTTGTTTCTCATTGTCAGAGTCCTTTAGGTGCCTTTTTGGCAAACTCCAAGTGGGCTGTCATGTGTATTTTACTGTGGAGTGGCTTCCGTCTGGCCACTCTACCATAAAGGCCTGATTGGTGGAGTGCTGCAGAGATGGTTGTCCTTGTGGAAGGTTCTCCCATCTCCACAGAGGAACTCTAGAGCTCTGTCAGAGTGACCATCGGGTTCTTGGTCACCTCCCTGACCAAGGACTTTCTCCCCCGATTGCTCAGTTTGGCCGGGCAGCCAGCTTTAGGGAGAGTCTTGGTGGTTCCAAACTTCTTCCATTTAGGAATGATGGAGGCCACTGTGTTCTTGGGGCCCTTCAATGCTGCAGACATTTTTTGGTACCCTTCCCCAGATCTGTGCCTCGACACAATCCTGTCTCGGAGCTCTACAGACAATTCCTTCGACCTCATGGCTGGTTTTTGCTCTGACATGCACTGTCAACTGTGGGACCTTATATAGACAGGTGTGTGCCTTTTCAAATCATGTCCAATCAATTTAAATTTACCACAGGTGGACTCAGGATGCACCTGAGCTCAATTTTGAGTCTCATGTCAAAGGGTCTGAATACTTATGTAAATAAGGTATTTCTGTTTTTTATTTTTAATACATTTGCAAAAATGTCAAATCTGTTTGAGAATATTTTTCTTTTTTAATCAATTTTAGAATAAGGCTGTAACGTAACAAAAAGTGGAAAAAGTCAAGGGGTCTGAATACTTTCCGAATGCACTGTGTATATATATATTAATTGATGGTCCCGTGTAGCTCAGTTGGTAGAGCATGGCGTTTGCAACGCCAGGGTTGTGGGTTCGATTCCCACGGGGGGCCAGTATGAAAAAATAAATGTTTATGCATTCACTAACTGTAAGTCGCTCTGGATAAGAGCGTCTGCTAAATGACTAAAATGTAAATGATGTGCTGCTTTTAGTGTCTTTGTGTCATGTTTCTACTTTGTATTTATTGTTGGTATAACTATTTTTCTGTAAGGGCTGTGTGATTTTTCTGTTCACTTGGGTCCAGTTGTTGAGCTCATTAAGGCCATTTAGAGGGCTCTCCAACTCTCTTTCTGGGCTTTCCTCAAACGGCCACATCTCGAAGCAGCTCAGTACGCCTCACAACTAGTCTCTGGTTTTGGGTACGGCTCGTGATATTACATTTTTTGGCTCAAGCAGTGTACGTGCTCAGCTGGAGTGGAATGGCTGCCTGGAGTTGTGTGTGTTATGTCTTGCTCGGGTGGTAGGAATACTGGGTGACGTCGGCGTAAATGTGCAACATGTTTAAGGTGTTGGCAGCTGCATAGGCTATTCTCGATGAGCAGTGGCAACATACTCTCTCTGTCCATCGCCGTTGTAATCTACTGGGAAGCCAAAATGTTCCCAAACTGGATATTTAAACGATGATGGAGAATCTTCCTGGATCCACCCCACCACTCGCCATCGTACAGAACTAGTTCCCGGCTGCGCCTCACAGAAGGACAATTTGAAATGCGGCAATTAAGATTAGAATTTAGATTACATCGTGCGCATAGGCTGTAGTTCTTTTAACGGAATAGCCTGAAATGTTTTTTCAGCTCAGATTTACTCGAGGCATACAACGCAGCGTAGGCATAGCCTATAAGCAGAGTTTTTATTTGTTATCTATTTTTTTATGTCTTAATTCGGGTTCACAGTGCGGACCGATCCGAGGTCCCTGTACCGAATGGTTTGGTACGAATATGTGTACTGTTACAGCCCTATCCTATATCTCACTTCCCTCCAGGACTGCTATTAGGACAAGATGCTGCACAGATTTAGGATCAGCTCTCCCTGCCCAAATTCTAACCCTCTCCTTTAGGGGCTACCACCCTCTAAACTGACCCCAGATCATTTATTATAGGGCTAACTTCTTTCTTCTCCTATCCCACCAGGACTCGTACGGAGACACGCCACTGCACGACGCCATCGCCAAAGACTTCCGGAACATCATTGAGATCCTGGTGGTGGTGCCCAACATCGACTTCACCCAGCAGAACAACCGCGGCTTCAACCTGCTGCACCACGCAGCCCTCAAAGGCAATAAACTGTGAGTACCACACTACTACTGCACTCTACACACTACCCCATACACACACCAACGCCACCCTTAAAGGCATCAGGCCGTGAGTACAATCAACACTACTACTACTAGACTACACACACATACTAGCTACATCTCACTACAACCCTCATACTCTCCTCTTCTTTACTCTCCTCTTATTTCTCTCTCTCTCTCTCTCTCTCTCTCTCTGTCTATGTCTCTCTCTGTCTATGTCTCTCTCTCTCTCTCTCTCTCTCTCTCTCTCTCTCTCTCTCTCTCTCTCTCTCTCTCTCTCTCTCTCTCTCTCTCTCCCCCCCCCAGGCTGAGATGGGAAGCTCCCCCACAGCTTCTATTCCCATGAGCCTCAGCACTGAGAACAGCCAGGCTCTCCTCCTGTCCTTCCCTTCCCACCAGCACTATTCACACAGAGAGAGAAGACACTCAAGACATCCCACACACATTCATGACTATGCTACATTCTAAAACATTCTTTGTCCATCCAGACAGAAGGCGCAGCTCTGACTTCAGATACAAAGAACCCTAGTGTTGGCAAAGAGTCCACAATGACTTTGATCTGACAAGGAGTTTGAGGGTAGCAGAGAGAGTGGTTTAGGAGAGGAGAGGGGAGCCAGAGAGGGTGGTTTAGGAGAGGAGAGGGGAGCCAGAGAGGGTGGTTTAGTAGAGGAGAGGGGAGCCAGAGAGGGTGGTTTAGTAGAGGAGAGGGGAGCCAGAGAGGGTGGTTTAGTAGAGGAGAGGGTGGTTTAGGAGAGGGGTGCCAGAGAGGGTGGTTTAGTAGAGGAGAGGGTGGTTTAGGAGAGGGGTGCCAGAGAGGGTGGTTTAGTAGAGGAGAGGGGAGCCAGAGAGGGTGGTTTAGTAGAGGAGAGGGTGGTTTAGGAGAGGGGTGCCAGAGAGGGTGGTTTAGTAGAGGAGAGGGGAGCCAGAGAGGGTGGTTTAGTAGAGGAGAGGGGAGCCAGAGAGGGTGGTTTAGTAGAGGAGAGGGGAGCCAGAGAGGGTGGTTTAGTAGAGGAGAGGGGAGCCAGAGAGGGTGGTTTAGTAGAGGAGAGGGGAGCCAGAGAGGGTGGTTTAGTAGAGGAGAGGGGAGCCAGAGAGGGTGGTTTAGTAGAGGAGAGGGTGGTTTAGTAGAGGAGAGGGGAGCCAGAGAGGGTGGTTTAGTAGAGGAGAGGGGAGCCAGAGAGGGTGGTTTAGTAGAGGAGAGGGTGGTTTAGGAGAGGGGTGCCAGAGAGGGTGGTTTAGTAGAGGAGAGGGTGGTTTAGGAGAGGGGAGCCAGAGAGGGTGGTTTAGTAGAGGAGAGGGGAGCCAAAGAGAGTGGTAAAGTCATATAGGTTGTGTGGGTGACACTGTCAGAAACCATTAAGGCTCCAGACTTGAATTCTGCTGAGCTGAGGGAGGGAATAAAATCTAATCAGTTCAGTTACCACCCCAAAGCCAGGGTGAAATACATTTAATTCGGCAATAACTAGAATACCCAGGCCAACATTGTATAAAGTTGCAACATTTCGTTCAGTTTCGGTCTTCGTCAGGCCTTTAAACCCCACAAGTCAAGTGAAGAGCTGGTCTACACCCAAAAGAAGTTAGTAGAGGTGCTGACTAACAGTGAATAGACTGTAGGCTATAAAAATAAAGAGTTGCACACACTATATACAAGCTCCCAGTAATGTATTGGGTAAACCACCAACGTATGAGCATCACAGTGCCTTCTTCAGGGTGATAGGACTGAAATATAGGAGGAAATATAGGACAGAACGAATGCTTATAGACCCAACAAGTGATTGAAGTACATCAGAACGCAACTGTTAGACATTCTGTTGGCAGCAGAACGCAGTCTGTTAGTCATGGCATAACCAGAAATAGTCTAGAGCAGTGTTTCCAAACTCCAGTCCTCCAGTACCCCGAACAGTACACATTTTGATTGTAGCCCCAGACAAGCACACCTGATTCAACTTGTCAACTATTCATCAGGCCCTCAATGAGTTCAATCAGATGAGTTTGTCTGGGGCTACAACAAAAATGTGTGCTGTTGGGGGTACTGGAGGACTGGAGTTGGGAACCACTGGTCTAGAGTAACTGGCTTTGCTTAACCGTCCACCTTATAGCAAAACACTTGTGTTACTGTTAAAGGGATAGTTCACCCAAATTACATATTGGTTTCCTTACCCTGTAAGCAGTCTTTGGACAAGGTTTGACAGCAATCATATCCAAATCATTCAAAAGTATCTAAAATTGATTGTGAAGCTCAACAAAGTCACGTATAGATGATTTGAACATGATGCACGAAAAATGATAATATCGGTACCATGACTTGAATGGGATTTGTGCCACAAGCCAGGCCCCCAACTTGATAGGGCCCTCCTCCCTCAATGCCACTGGTAGTTGTCATGACCCAGCTTCTCTCATCACATTGGCACAGCTCTGGGGGGACTAAATAACAGCTACACCCCGAGCCCACACACACATCTACCCTGTACTGCTTGTATCTCTATTCCACCCCTCAACCCCCCCAGTGACAAGCATCTTCTTGAATGGGGAGAATGTTGACTGGGCACAAACAGGGGGGAAAAGGGGAATACAGTCAGTCTGCAGCACAGAATCATAAAAGAAATGGCCAATCTGTTCGGGCACATGTCATATGTGCAGTGCTGGAGTTCAGCGTGCTCTCCCAAGCATCCATTTGCAGCTGCTGCTGCAAATGAAAAGAACATAGAGAATGACAGTATTCTGGAGGAGCTATTTTCACTCGTACTATCAGTAAATGTACACATTAATGTATTAAGCAGTGGTATTCAAACTTTTTCAGCAGGGACCCCATTCTTTTCCTCCAGAATTTCTGAGGACCCCATTTTTTTTTCTCGCAACAATTCCTCAAGACCCCAGCCCAAATCTGATGACACAACCTTAAAATTGGTCCATTTTCATTTTTACATCAACAAATAACCTTAAATTCATTACATTTTAATCTCTTATCGAAAATACATAAATACATTTACTCAAGAAATTTGTATTTTTCTAATTCTCTATAATAATAATTCTGTGCTCTTTTAAATGTTTTGTTCCCAAAAAAGTTACCCCGTCACTCCGACTTTGAATACCACTGTATTACAGGGTGGTCTAAGGTACTGTATGTATGTATGCATGCATGCTAAGGTATAGAGGAGATTTAGCAACACTTGGAGAATAACGGAATTACATTTTTAAAGTGTATTTATTGCTAAAAGTTAGCAGATGGATCTTTGTGGTCGTCGCAACGGGAAGCCTGTTGAAACCACATCAGACGATTATGTCGTCGACACTAGGAGGTCCCGTCCAGTTGACAGAGAGGTAGATAGCCGGGAGATGGGCCTGGCTCGAGGCTAGCTCAAGGCTAACTGGTGATTAGCCAACAACATCCATTCGGTTGCAGCTAGCTAGTTGCGATGATCCAGTGTTAAGGTCCAGTGATTCAGTGATTCCGGCAGAATCACTGAGTTGTTTGGGTTTATTTTTCCCCAAAGTAGCATCCCTAAAGCGGTTTTGAGTTCAGTCGGAATTCTCCAATTCTTCTCTCGCTCCTCTCCGGTGTTTTTGCCAATAGAAATGTGTGTTTGTTTATTTGAGTGAAGGTATTTATTTAGTTTATCTGAGGAAATGGAAAAAGAGCCTAGTTCTAAAAGGATCCTGGGAAGGCAGGCAGCCAGAGCAGTACTGGAGCTCCCCAGACACAGGCAGACAATGAGACAGAGAGCCTCATGGAGGCCCTTTCTCTCTCTTTCCCCATCTCTCGCTCGCTCCTGTCTCCTCTCACCCTCCCTCCCTCTCGCCAATCTTCCTCAATCTCTCTCTTCATCTCTCTATCTGGTGACCTGGGCTCTCAGTGCTCCTTCCCGAGTCCCCAGCCAAAGGCCAGTCCGTCTGTCCGTACGCACCCCAGCTAGGCCTTAACCCTCACACACAGTCCAACCACAGCAACATTAAACGTCTGAGACGACTCCCTCTAACTACTTCACATAACTACTCAGCAAATAAACACACTTAAAAATTCCTTTCTTTCCACCTCCTCAAATCGATGTCACTTATAAGCTATGGTTATTTTCCCCAGTGAGTCCACGATTAAGACCAAACGATGAGAACCCCAAAATACATTTGCTCTCTAGCGAAAGCATTACCATAGCGTTGGAATGCCCTCAAGTCATGCTGTATGAGCTCATGTTAAGACAGTAATGCCTCGTAGATCAGGGGATATGGGAATATTCATGAATGTGCAGGGGTTAGTATGGAAATGATGCAGAGATCTAAACCGAGGGGAGGCGAGGTAAGAGGCGACGGAGTGACTGGGCTAAAATCCAATCAGAAACACTTTCCAAGGGCTGCAGGGGGAGGGGCGGGACTATGAGCTTGTGAAGTGGGGAGGGGTAGGGGGGATCTGAGAGATGCGGTTTTGATGGAGGAGCGATGGAGGCAGCCGTGACAACCTCCCTATCCACCCTCCATCCTGCCTCCCCCTCCTCCCTAAGTGATCCGCACTGCAGGTACAAATGACCTGGATGTCCCCCCCACCAGTAGTACAGTATGTGGTGAGCTGCTTCTAGCAAGGCTGGCTGACCATGCCCATCTGCTGGTTGTGTCCTAGTGATGGGTGAAAAAATCTACAGTTTCATATCGCAACATTATTTTGGACAATATTATATAGATACTCCAAGTATCGATTTGTAAAAAAATATATATATATATGTCTGTACCTGCGCCAAAACTCCGGTATTTTTCATCGTATAACTTGTTCTCTATCTTCTTTTTAAATAGTGAGCCATCATGTTTTCAGCGCTTTTATTTTCATGACTGATCAAACTTTTCTCATGCTCTCTTGTCTCTCTGCAGCAGACATAATGAGCAATATGTTTGGAACATCAAATCGCAATAAAATCTCAGTATCGAATCGCAATACATATAGAACCATGAGAATTGCAATACATATCGTATCGGCACCTAAGTATCTTGAGAATCGCAATACATATCGTATCGGCACCTAAGCATCATGATAATATATTTTCATGATGTCCCAGGCAATTCCCAGCCCTTTTGTTTCCTCCCTGGCAGCACTGCTGGTCGTGTACAGTAATGCGTCTGAAACAGGTGAGCAAGGTGTTAATGAGGGCTGCACACTTTTTATTAATTTTTTTATCATAAATAATGCTGCATTAAATCCCCTTATTTTACTCCGCAGCAGAAATAATTTGACTTGACCGTGCTTTTACTGTACACTACTGTAACTACTTGTACTAAACAGCTACCCAGTCAAGAGTCGACACTCAAATGTTTAATCTGCTGTTCAGTAGTGGTCATTTCAATTAAAGATAGCCGTTTATTCTTGAAGAATATAATTTATAGATGCCTCATGAGCTTTCAAATTATTTAACAGTAACTTGGAGATGCAAATAAGAGAACCTACTTCTAGTTGACTTTAGATTATTAAAAATGAGATGCAAGGGGAAAACAACTCTGACTAATGGGAAAGGGCATGCCTGCCTGTCTGCAGTGGCCCGAGAAGTGTATAATACTGTACAGGCCAGGGCTAGGGGACTGGGGCACTGACTAAGGTCTGTTGAGTTCAACATGCTATAAAGCAGCCGGCGCAGAGGATGGACACAGACAGCCCTGCTTTACAGCCAGCCAGCTTCTCGACAGACTGCAATATCAAAACCCAGTGCTTGAATAACAAAGCAGGATTACTCAATACGCCCGTCCTATTCGTCCTCAAAGCCCCAGCTCAGTCTCTCCACCACCACCACCTCTCATTTTGCGCGCTATGGAGATTGGCGAAAGTCTGTGGAAGTAGTTATAGAATATATTTTGTGGGCGAATATGTGGCGTGGATTAGAGTGAATTATGTTGAGTGCTTGAGGAAGCTTTATTTGAGTGTGGGAATGGTGGAGGAAGTGACTGATGGTAGAGTGAGATGCTGTATGGCAGAGGAGGAGGAGGGTGTTAGGAATGAGCAACGGTAATCCTTTAATGCAAGTTCAGCCGAGGGCTGGAGGTCAATGGTGTTTAGAGCCGCTGCTCCTCAGTAAAACGCTTAGCACTGCCTAATGGAAATCCCTGACCCATGTTGGGGCTCGCTTGGCTGTGTGTCGTTTCCTTTCCTTCTTATGGCGGCCTTAAGCTACCGATGTGACACATTGACCTACGTCACAACACACATCTCTCTGATTCCAGGGTTTCCGTGTGTGTGATTATAATCCATAAAGCACTCTTCTGTCCCCAAGGCACGAAACATGTACATTATATGAATAGTGCACTATATACTCCATCTGAACCCGAGGCCATTTGTTTCTACAGGGCCACGGAGAAGATCTTGGCTCGGGCGCGTCAGCTGGTGGACGTCAAGAAGGAGGACGGCTTCTCAGCTCTGCACCTGGCCGCCCTCAACAACCACCGAGACGTGGCCGAGATCCTTGTGAAAGAGGTAAGTAACGGGGCTGAAAAGGGGTTTCCCCCAGCCTGTATATCTCTGTATCTTTCTATCTCTCCTTCTCGCTCTGCTCCCTAGAGTTATGAAGGAGACCTCCCCCTGGTGGCTGTTAACATATATGACATGTTTGGTTGTGGAGCAGCTAGAAGGGTTGTTGTTTCCATGCAACACTTTCAAGGGCTTTTTGGCTTAAAATGAACTTTCCAATAAACTTTCCTTCATGCTGCCATGACAGCATCCTTTGAAACTGGGACAGAAATGCCACACTAAACATTACAGGTACTAGAACAATTGTGCTGTCTTGCAAACCAAACAGCCAATAATATAGGCCTACACATAGGCTAGGCCTACTGTCAATTAAAGTTGCAGTAAACGTTACTTCGACAAGTTAAACTTAAACTAATATGTATAATATTGTCAAAGTGTTTATTAATATCCTTGAATTGCTCAACAGGCAATCGGACATAAGCTCCCGCAGCAGCACTTTCAATAATCAGGAACAAAAAATTAATGAATGATGAGTCAGTGTTTGAATGAATGATGAGTCTTAAAAATGTTGCATTTATATGAAAGTTAACAACAATCAGATAAAACAAATTATTATTTAGCTTATAACATTCTTTATAACACTTAAATGAACATTGGGCTGAAAACAAATAGGCCCATTATTCTTAGGCTATGCCTTTTGCCTATCGAACTGTAAAAATCCTAGATATACAATCAGATAAAACAAAATTATTATTTATAACTTTCTTTATAACACTTAAAAACGAATGAACATTGGCTTATGCTAAAAACGAATAGGCCTATTAGGATATGCCTTTTGCCTACAAGTAACAAAATAAATAAAGTAGCCTAAACAAAATAATACATTTTAGCCTATCCTATAGGCTATGTCTTTCGGCTAAGATGCATCTGGATTTCAATATAGGCTACATTTAAAATTAAATAAAGTGCAATGAGGAACCATTAGGTCTAGTTGTTTCTTTACCATGTCTTAGGTCTACGTAAAGTTTCTGACAAGAAACACCAGTATATTGACCTTTTTCTTCCCCAGAGTAGCGAACCATTTGTCCTTTACATTGCATTCTTCCAGCCTATTGACCCCCGTACAGTACTGCATAATAGGAACAGCACTGTAAAATACTTACAGATACCAGGCAGTCACAGGACAGCGACATAAAAAGCAAACGCATAGAATCTAACATTGGTACCTTCAGAGCCTTCCCCAAAAAAATTCATGACATCAACACCCCTCACCCACCCTCTCTCAGGGCCGCTGCGACATTAACATCCGCAACAACCGCAACCAGACGCCGTTGCAGTTGGCGGTGACGCAGGGCCATGGGGACCTGGTGCAGCTGCTAGTGGCAGAGGGTGCCGACGTCAACATGGAGGACGAGGACGGGGACACGGCCATGCACGTGGCCCTCAGCCGCCCGCAGCTGGCCAACGCTACGCTCACCCCCGCCACCTCCAGCACCACGACCACCACGCCGGAAAGAGGAGAGGGAGGCCCAGGCTCATCATCGTCCTCGCTCTACTGCCGGGTAGGACTGTGAGGAGGGGTGTGATCCTTCTTGATTAATCAGGAATTCCTGCTTTTCTAGCATTGTCCTCCATTCATATACATTTGAAACTGACCTATCCCCTAGACAAAATCCTGCTTTTCCTAGAATGGTGAACACAGCGATCAGACTGGTTCCACAGGCTAGTTTTTCTATGTTGTCCTAATCACATCCTTAACCAGGTAGCCTGGTCCCAGATGTGCTTTAGCCAAACTCCTCTGACTATTGTTCACAATGGTAGCCAATGGAGTTGGCTAAAGCACATCAAGATGGGGACCAGGCCAGGAGAAGGGTGGTGTGAGAGAAATCATCTACCCCAGCTTCATTTAGGCACAATCACTCCTCACCTCCATTTTTTTATTGTTCCTTCTATTAGCTAGGTAGGTTATTGGGAAATCATTATCTTATACAATATGGACAAGGTATCGACAGAGCCTTGTATGACTACTTTACATGACCCAGGTGGGTGCAACAGATTGGTGGTGGAAGGAATGAGTTACCCCCCAATAACTGCACAATTACAATATAAAGCGCTTTCATTTTGAGAAGAGCTTTATGTAAATGCAAATCATCAGCGTTGTGTTCTAGCTGCCACTGGCACCGCCGAAGGGCATCCTCTCGTATCGGCACGACCCCAAACACTGCAGTGCTCAAATACTGGCCACCCGCCAAGCCTTTTTGGGACTTGGTGGATGGATGGGGTAAACAAACACACACATACACTGGCCATTTCAAGGTGGTCAGTCTTAGTACTCTGTATTCAGCAAAGGAGAGGGGGGAGGGGTTCTGGATTTGTCCAGCTGGGGTGCATTGGGTTTAGTGACATCACACCCTTGCTGTACTCTAGTCTGTGTATGAGGACCAGACATGCCCTTTGCATTTAGTAAACAGGTGGGCAGCTTGCATCTGACGTGCCACTGATTACTATAATTACTAGAAGATTATTGATTAATTGATACTAATGATCAATTACTAGTTTTAGTGTAATCTTATGTCCCCAGTAATCTTGTTGTGGTTGTTGTGCACTGTACTGTCTGTCTGTCTTTCTCTCTCTGCTATATCTTATGTGTGCAGCTTTCAAGCTCTCTTATGTGATTCCTTTAATTTACAAGATTAAAGGCTCATCAGAACTCAATTCTCTCTCTTCCTTTTCCCTCCCTCTTCCTGTCTCCTGTGTAGCTGAGCAGCTCGGGGCTGATGGGTAACACGGAGCTGAGCGTGGGTGCGGCCATCGCCTGTTTCCTGGCACAGGAGGGCGCCGACATCAACTACGCCAACCACAAGGGCAAGAGCCCGCTGGACCTGGTGGCTGATACAGCCGTGCTGCAGCTCATCAAGAGCTTCTCCGAGAAGTACCGGTACATACAACAACCACTGACTGACTGACATAGTCCTACTATTATAACAACACCTCACACACTCCTAGCTCTGAGGGCTCAGCCTGGAGATTAATGCCTCAATCAGACATAAATGGGCTTTAAAATAAGTGAAAAAGAAAAGACCAAAACAAAGAAGATAGATATCATACAGTATGTGTACCAAATCAGTCTTCCATCCATCTGTTCCTTTCAGGTTGCAGCGGCTGCAGGCCATCACGTGCGGCACGTCACTGAGCAGCACCAGCCTGCGGCGGGTCCACACAACACCCAACACCATGACCAACCTGGCCATGCCCGCCCTGCCAGGGCCCAGCGAGTGCCTCATCTGCTCCGAGCTGGCCCTGCTCGTCCTCTTCTGCCCCTGCCAGCACAGCGTTGCCTGCGAAGGTAGATGGATAGCGTGCAGGGCTCGACATTAAGCCTTGTCCGCGGCAATAAAATAATATAGAGATTTCAGTAAAAAAACACAATATCAAATAATTAGTCCGATCAGAATTGGATAAGGAAGTGGCGATGCTGCAGTGCACAGCAGGGCGTACGTACATGGTTAACATTCTGAGTAAATTGTCTATATTCCCATTTGCTATAGCCTATTTCAATAAATATGTTATACTTACACAAAGCAAGAGAACAATGTAGACTGAGCTAAGAGTCTCACCAAAGCAGTGCAAAATATGCGGTCAGAAAATGTTATTTTTTTCTCTCAAATGTTGGATGATCTGGGCCAATATCCAAAGTCAATTTTTATAGCGGACACTCCGCTGTCTTATTGTTGTAGAAGCCCAAATTCTATATTTTCTCTCCATTTGATATGAATATGACTTGGCCTATTAAGCCACTCTTTCAGTTTAATGCATGTTAGATTTCTCCTGCCGTGCCATTTCATGATCAAAGAATGAATGAATCTAAATGAGTTCTAGGCTATCTCAGCAAGTTTTATGTTGTTTTTGAATAACTCAGGCCTAAGGTAATAATGAGAGAGATAGAAGAAACAATAGCAAGATATAAAGATCAAATTTGAAATTTTAACAAACAGTTGAGCAAAGCATTATAAAACAGAAATTATGCATGCATGCAAGGCTAGAAAAAATAATTCCTTGCAATTGTGAACCAAACGACCAAAAGCCTAATCCTACTAACTGAAATATCATAAAAGCATTAAGACAAATTAAAGTTATGAATAATATTTTCCAAACTATTCTAATAAAGTGTTTAATGTGCAGCTTTTAAATGGGAATAATTATGAAAGTCATGCTATGCTATTCTTCATTCAAATATTTTAAGCCACAAGAAGTGGAATTGAGCAAACAATACCAAGATGGAAAAATCTAATGAGGAGTCAAAAGAAATGCATGGTTGGCCTATTTCCATATTATTCTAGCAATGTGCAACCTACCTACAACACATATAGTAGCCTAGGCCAATAAGAGAGGAGGGAGAAGAAAAAAAAACCTTTCTAATTATCCAGTTCCAAGGACAGCAGAGTTGCTCTGCAGCCCATGATGATTTACAACACATCTCTACCAGAGTGGAATAGGCTATTTGAAAATATTTGGCTTTTAGTCTAGGACTAGGTTTAGTCTTTGTCCGGGGAAACTGGCCTTTGGTGTTTCCACAATGGTACTCGGGTACCTTATTTTAGGTTTGAGGTCTTTGGGATCTGAAGTAACTCCTCGTGCCTCTCCCTAATCTCTCCACAGAGTGTGCTCATCGAATGAAGAAATGCATCAAATGCCAGGTTACGATCACCAAGAAAATAAGACAAGGTAATGGTACCACAGATAAGTAGAAGGCCTGTCTTGTTTTCTGATTTTTATTGATGTGTGTCGGTGAGGGGCATTGGTAGTAATTGATAAATAGAAGATGTCCGGATCATACTAATACTAGTACAGATCACAATACCTTTCAATGGAGTGTGATGTTGAAGTGAATGATGTGCATCCCCCTCCTCTTCCTCCAGACCAGACAGAGGTGGACTGCAGCCCGGGCTCGGAGAACTCGGAGCAGCACAACCTGCTGGAGCAGCTGCAGTCACGCTACCGCCAGATGGAGGAGCGCATCACCTGCCCCATTTGCATCGACAACCACATCAAGCTGGTCTTCCAGTGCGGCCACGCCTCCTGCATCGACTGCAGCGCCGCCCTCAAGACCTGCCCCATCTGCAGGCAGACCATCCGCGAGCGCATCCAGCTCTTCGTCTGACCCAGGCCCTCCTTTCTTCCTCTCTTCCCCTCCCCCCCGAGGAGTGGCCCAGGGGTGGTCAGCTCATTGCCCGCCTTCTGCTGGTGTTTGTTAGTCAGTCAGTCTGCTCCTCAGTCGTTCAGGATTAGCCACTCGATCGTCCATCCTGGCTCAGCTGCTGCGCTTTGTTGTGTTCCGTTGCATGACGTTGCGCCAGGGTTCCCAGCAGTGTCAACGAGCTGGATATGGTCGTACTAACTTGATTTTTAGTTTTGTTGTTGCCTGTTTCTTCACGGCTTTGTCCGTGGCCCCCAGTGTGCAGCAGCCGCAGCGGGTTGCATCAGGAGGAGGCAGTAGCGCCACAAGCTCCATTCTCATTGGTCCACAAGGAGGACATCCCTACGAACCAGGGAGGAAGTCCCTCTGAATAGGACCTCACCTGTGCTGCTCTAAGAGGATGTCTGTTACTCCCCGTTAGATTGCATCCCACCCTGTTCCCCCGTTTGCCTGTCTTGCCTCCCCTGTTTACAAGGCTGCAGAGAACTGGCCGATGTCTCCCTGTCTTGAATCCAGTGTATTATGTTTGCTCTCCTTCGTATGAAGCTCTTTGTAATCAGTGTTAGTCTCCAGAGGGTGATGGTATAACTAAAGGCTCCTCTGTATAGCCCCTCCTTCTTGCCATACGTACGCAAGGGGAAAATACACACTTTATATATGCATGAGTATATGCATATTCAAAGCTGAAGACTGTGTTGTGGGTTTGGTTAGATGTGTGGTTTTAAGAGTACCAGTAATTAGTACTGAGTTATGTCTAAAGGTGTTTCTATTTAGCTAAAGTCATATTATTTTTGGTGTTTGCTCAGTAAAAAAAATATTTCTGCTGAAATTGCACCCAAGCCTATGTCCTTCTCTACTCAGGGTCCTGATTCATTGAAACACTTCTAGCATCAAAAAGGTCACAGAATGTTTTTTTTTGTCAACCCTTTTTACATTGGAGCCATCTGACAATTTGGTGTGTGTTCATTAAGGGACTTGTAGTTGATGTCTGATAACACAACAGCTAGGACTTTTATAGCAGAATAGACCTGTGGATAAGTTCACTTCGGCCCAACATACCTTTCCTGCTTTAGGTATGAAATGAATGTTTAAATTACACCATTGTAGAGAGTGGTTTGTGTGCCGCTTTAAAGAAAGGAAAGACTTTGTCAGACGACGCAGTGCAAGTCATTTTCCTTATACCATCACCCAGATACCCATCGGCTTTGTTCTTTTTAGATATGTATCAAAATCATGATCGAAGCCTGTGTCTGTTGTTCATCGGAACCTGAGCGTCTGTCCTACTCCTCAGTGTGTAGGGTTGTACTACACAGCGATAACGTTAGCCGCACGCAGACCCGCTTGCAAGCATCATCACACAGCCTCAGACAGGGCTCAGCCCATTGGGTGGTGCAGATAGGTTTGTCATTGAGTTTAGGTCAACTTTGGACTCTTGCAGACAGAATTACTTTTGACTTCTGGAGGCCTTGGTGTCCTCTAGTTAGAGGAAGACCACTGATACTGTACACTATGATGAATCAATCCTCCAATACAGAACAGGAAGGATTAATGATCAAGCGAGGTGTGTGAACTTCCACCAAAGCTGAGCCTGAAAAATAATGAGCATGTATTTGCTTTTTCTTTCTTATTTTGTCACAATGTGGAATTTTGGCAGCCTTTGGACTCTGTTTTCTTGTCATGTATCTTTTTTCTCTCAAACAGATGTATTGTAAACATTGATTTAGAAAGGGCAAAAATTATTGTTAAGTGTGCATCTGTAGTGCACTTGTCTCACATCAGTCAGCCTACCTAGAAGAAACCCTCCCCAGTCGGTTTGGCAAGGCATTTTGGATTGTACTTTATTGATAATCATCCTTTGTAATGTTTGGTTTGTTTTCCGAAGGGCTTATGCATTTTTAAAAAATTGATCTATTTTAATCTTCTATTTCATTTTTCTATTGTAAACTTCCAGTGACAGGGGTTTTGTAACGTTAGATCCCAACTTTGGGAGAGCCAATTAAGATTTACATTTGAATGTCAGAAAAATGTAACCTGTCTTACTTTGCCTTTTTGGGGGAAGGTTGTACAGATGCGTGGAAGAGAGGGAAAGTAAGGTTTACTCAAAAGTACTACTAACGTTACACCAGTGCCAAATCTTCAATAGGATGTGCACTACATAGGGAATAGGGTGTAATTTGAGACGGTGCCCAGTCCCTCTTTCCAGCTTCTGATTAACAACTGATATTAAAGAATTCTGTTCCAAAGTATAATCAATAAAACAAAAAATTGGAGCCAAAAAGCATTTTTCTTTTATAATTTGAGGCATAATGAATATAGAGCATTTCTGATTGAATCAATTAGATCATCAAAGATTGTCATCTGGGGTCATGTGAGTAGTCTGTGCACAGGTAAAGGCAATAATAGTTTAGAAGAGCCAGGAGGTTTGGAAATATACCACTAGAGGTTTGCTATGAGAAGTACATAACATTTAAGCAACAAATGTTACTGTTGGGGTGTGTACAGTACAGCACTTGGAGTTCTGATGTTGGCCTTACTGCCCATTCCTCTTATGTTCATGTTTTTTTCAGTTGTATTCTGTACAAAAATATTTTGCAATAAATATGGAACTGTTTTATAAGGATTTGGTGTTCTGTGCTTAATCAGTCACTGTCTCCTCCCAACATGTAATTGACATGTCACCCGTCTAACTTAAAATATGTTTATCCAACTCAAATGAATCAATCAGTATATTAATGTTTTCTAACTCAAATTTATAAATTTAGTTTACTCACAATAAGTGTAATTTGGGGTAATTTGAGTTGGGTAAAGGTATTAATCTGCGATCGTCTAGCAATCCAAAGGTTGCATGTTCGAGTCGCGTTGGGGAAAACATTAGCATTTTAGCTAACCCTTGCCCTTATTCTAAGCTTAACCCAATTCACCTAACCGGCTACGTAAATACACCTAACCTTTGTCGTTTTAGTTCTAACCTTTTCAAATAATCCTAACCTTTGTTGTTAGTTCCCCTAACCACCAATGTCAATTCTCCCCATAATTCTCCTTTGTTACAGCACAACAAGCAACCTGGTCTCGTCCTCCAAGACATATGGTAAAATACCTCATCCAATTCGTATGCTATTGCACGTCCAGGTAAGTTGTATGATACTATACATCCTATAATTCGTATGATATTGTACGACCGCTATTCCATTCATAATGTAACCTAACATAATATATCATACTAAATTGTGTCACAGATTTACGTACAGAATAATACGAATTGCCCTGAGACCACGTTAGTGTAAACGCAGCCTATCTGTTCAAGCTTTTCCATGTCTACACATGGTAATGTGTCCACATTGGGCCAAGATTTCCTGGTCCCTACCTGTATGTATGCAAATTATTTGAGTGTTTCAAAAATATATATTTGTTTTAATGTTAAATCAAATATTGATGTCTTGAGTCAATGGTGTCACCTGTCAACAGGGGTGGAAATAGTACTGAAATATCCTACTCAAGTAGAATTACTGTTACTTAAATTAAACTTTCCTCAAGAAATAAAATGAGACTCAGAAAAAATACAAGTACTCAGAAAAGCTACTCAATAACAGTAACGAGAGTAGTTGTAATTTGTTACTTTACATCTCTGCCTATTAATGATTTCAGAGGAAAGGTATAATGAAATTACAGGACTTGTGTATGGCTTGTTCCTCATTCATCAGTAAGTAGAAAAAATATCAAAATAAACAAGGGCAGTAGAGTTGGATAATGGTTTAATAAGCAATGATAGAAATCCAGACATAACATTGTGCGAGCGCCTTACTATTCCCATCTCAGTGTCTGTGCTTTTAATGGGTCAATTATCTCGCTATGCTGCAGAGCACACTGATGATGCTAGCCAGCCTGTTCTTGGCAAGGCCTGTATCATAAACCATCTCCGTCCTTAGCCTAACATAAAATAACAACCTCATGCCCTCTTCATCAGGAACACATATGGTGCAAACACACAAATTGACTTGCATATGACAAACTGCTCATGAATGGATGATGACAGAGCCACATGAGAGCAGGGGCTTAACTCAGGTGGTGGAAGCGTTCTGAGCGGTGCAGATAGAAACAGAGCAGACATGATGATTCTCTTATGGATTTTAGAGAACAATATCTGTGTGAGGCACTTAATTTCTTTAAAGGAGAGTATAATTATTTTATTGCGATGGAATAGATATTCCTGAACAGGCCCCAGCGTAACCTAACCATATCAATAATTGCCTCAAGGAAGGAAGGAAAGATGGACAAAAGAGCATTTGGTCCAGTGTGGCTGTTTATAAGAGTGTGGCGCTAGCAATGACAAGGTGGAGGGTTCAATTCCTGCAGGGATCACATACTGGTATGCACTCATTATACTTTGCTTTGGATACAAGCATCTGCTGAGTGGCATATTTATGTATTTGTAAAGTTATTATTAAATACAACTTTAGTTGTAAAGTATTGAAATGGTGGATGGCTGTTATGCACCTGGTGGGGTGAGGCTGAAGTGTCAGAACTGCAAAAGGTTGTCTGTGGCTTGGTTGACCAAATCACTTTTTTTCCCTTTGTACCTTTTATTCAGACAGGCAATACGTAGAGGGGGCGAAAGATGAAGGGGGGATACAGTAGGAAAAATGGACACACGGACCGTCGAGACTGACAAGTTCTATACTAAATGGTAGGGTGGGGCGATAAATAGCCTTTTAAAGAGGCAATCTACAGTTGAAACAATAACAACGCTCATCCCCGCCCGTTTTGGTAAAAAGCTGAGGGATGGGGCTGGAGAAATGTAACCACTCTCAAATAAATAGACAGAGCTATGGATGCAAGGGCTGACCATCCATGATATCAAAAGTATAGTTTTATCCATGTAGTGAGGTTATACACAGTGTACAAAACATTAAGAACACCTTCCTAATATCGAGTTGCACGGGAAACAGTTGAGCGCGAAAAACCCAGCAGCGTTGCAGTTCTTGACACAAACTGGTGCGCCTGGCACCTACTACCATACCCCGTTCAAAGGCACTTAAATATTTTATATTTCCCATTCACCCTATGAATTGTACACACACAATCAATGTCTCAATTGTCTCAAAAATATTTATTTAACCTGTCCCCTCCCCTTCATCTACACTGATTAAATGTATTTAACAAGTGACATCAATAAGGGATCATAGCTTTCACCTCGTCAGTCTGTCATGGAAAGAGCTGGTGTTCATAATGTTTTGTACAGTGTTGGTTTACATTGTCTGTTTACAAACATTGATTTATGTTGGATTCTGATGGGGTACAACAATTGAACTAAGCTCATGAGGCATTTCTAAGTTATATTCTTCAAAAATCAATGGGTACATTATTAATGTATACGTTTTTAAAAAATGTATGTAGCAACTACAGATTGCTATTTTAAGGTATACAATACCCTCTATAAAGGTATTTTGTGTCTACATTAAGTAAATTAACATGATGCAAATTTTTACCATCAGACTGAGTACTTTGGCTGACAAGAAGTCCAATGGTAATGTCCCAGGCCTGTTCCATAGAAAACACAAGTTATTTACAAATGAATACAAGTCTACTGGCTTCCAGATGATTAATACTGTGGGCTTGCATTTCTAATGATAAGCATTGGGCTCCAATTGGGGAATTGATGTCTTATTCAAACCTGAAGTTTGAAGCTCAACAGAAAGCTGTGTGGCAGAGTATGGGCACACAGTGCAGTTACATTGCATATTTCAAAACCTTACAAAAATGTAAGGCTATAGTCTTCTCTGAAATAGTCAAAATTATTTCAATATCAAATTCTGATAGAAGAACCTGAAGTAAATAAATAAAAATGACAATTTCTGCATTATGCGAGGAACAAGAAAAACAAAGACAATAGATGTAATTTCTTAATGAATCCATAACTTCCCAAAACATACAGCCTAACAGTAAAATCCTAAAAGGTCACTAACTGGTCCAATGCAAATTAGGCTGAGATCTGGACCATTTGGGGGCATTTCCATGTACTCACAACGCATCACATTAATTTATATTTGTTTATGGACTGGATCGATGAATCGTTGCACTCCTCTGTCTAAAACTAAAACAAAAATGGAAATTACCAATCCTTGACTCCAAAACCTGATAATAACAAGGCTACCATCTCATACCAAAAAACAACATTATTGCAATTCATAATTTTAACCTCAAACCCTGATGAATAAATCAGGCTATTGTCTTAACATTAGCAAAAAAACAGACATTTCAATTTAAGAGATTAAAAGGTTTAGATTTGGTTTATTGACATTTTGAAGAATTGCATCACTGGTAGCAAGTCTAAGGGCCCGACGCAACGCATGGCAACAGTTTTTTCAATGTCTGTCCTCATTTTGAGGCATCAGGACATGAAATGTCCTCTGTACTGTGGTCTTATACCAAATGAGTCTGAACACATCTCAGACTCTGCAAAATACTGGACCAGTTACACATCTGGTTATATCTGTCAGTATTACAGAAGAGTAACTCAACTGTCAGTTTCTCTGGATGTATAAATTAGACAATAAATTAAAGCCTTTGAACTCAAGTAAATTATTACAAATACAAAGATGTACATAAACTAGTCTGTATAAAAAAATAAAAGAATAGCTATACAAAGAAGCTACAATTCGATCACAGTAGCGGTAAGCTGCCTTGAGGTGCCAGAATGATCCCAAAGACATAGAAAAGTCCCATCAGGAGGTTGAGCTTGGCCGTCTTTTGGGGGATCTTGGAATAGCACTGGCTGCGGAACTGCCTCTCCAGGGGGAAGGCCATGGGTAACGTAAGCAGGGGCAGGGCCATGCTGATGGTGTAGTGGGTGGCCAGGATGCAGAAGAGCACGTAGGGGACAAACAGCAGGAGGTTGAAGAGGATGTAGGACAGCGTGGGCCCAATGAGAATGGCCAGAGTGACGATGCCCGCCTGTTTGTCAGAGTCCATGTCTCTGGTGTTGTTGCTGTGAAGGATGGCCTCTGTGTTGAGGGCCAGGGGAACGGCGTAGACCAGAGGCAGGACAGACAGGTAGCCCACCTGCACAGCGTGGGCAAACATCACCGCCAGGGGGCCAAATGTGATCAGGATCACCACGTCCCCCAGGGCCACGTACTTAAGACCAATGCCTGGAAACAGGACAGGGAAGGTATCATAAGTATCTGGATATTAGTGTGTGTGTGTGTACTAGTAAATAAAGTGAGGGAAATAATGTCAGTACATTTAATGCCTAGCTCACCTCCTGTGTACAGAAAAGAGCTGGAGAGCCCTCCAAAATAAATAAGGGCCAGATGCTCCATCCTCAACGTGGAGATAAAGTAGAGTAGGGTGGCACACAAGCAGCCCAGAGAGTAGAGCAGCGCTCCGAACATGACCACGTCCTGCGGCGCCAGGATCTCATCCACCAGAGTCCTATCATCGCTCTTCTTGTGGTCGATCCCTTTGGAGAAGTCATAGTAAGTGTTAACCAGGTTTCCTGCCCCATGCACCACCAGCACTGCCACAGCACACACCATGAGGATGACCAAGTCCACAGAGCCCTCCAGCTTGTAGGCCAGGGCACTGCCCAGCACCACCGGTGTGAGGGAGGCGCTGAAACTCCACGGCCGCAGGGCCAGCACATAAGCAGCACACTTGTACCTCATGTCGGACGCGACTCTGGCCCTCCCTGAGCTTCGGTAGGCGGCGGTGTGATTCTGCACAGTGTCATTCAAACCGGAGTGCCTCGTCTCATTATGTCCATTCGATCCAGCCAAAACAAATGTCTCTGCGCTGCTTGGTTTCTGCCCCACAGCCATACCTCTGCCAGGGTCCGCAAAACAAAGAAACGGATGGTAAACCTGTAACAGAATCACAGAGGTCACACATAGAATGTAATTAAAGGAACATCTCATTTAATGAACAAGAGCATTAGAATCCAGGCTCTGTAAGTTATTGAAAACCAGTATGGAGTAGTTATTGTATTGTCCTTCATTATTGAAGGGTTGCAAGAGCGTGCGACCAGAATTTGTTGTTGTTGAGCAGGATTAAAGGGTACTACTACATGCTAGGCCGTAGCTAGCAAACGAGTCTGTTTAATTTCCAGTACTTCCTGAGTAGCTAGAAATATGCTACTTGGACCACCTGTATTTCAATGCACCATGTTGTGAATTGTACAAAACACCTGTTGAATGGCCACATTACTTTCTCCCTACAACCTCGTAAAATTGGCATTTAGAGCATTGCACTGCTGGATAGTCAACTACAGAGATTAAAGGATTAACGCTAACTAGCAAGCCAAAAGCCAGACACAAATGAAATGTCCGAAACCGGACTTTACCTGTTTTATGTATCCGTTATCTGATAAACTATTTCACGCCATGTAACAACATCTTTCTGTGACCGCTAGCTAACCACAGGGCTGACCCTACTCCCTTGGTAAGCCAGCTACGTGTCAATTTCGAGGATATTTCACTGGCTGATCACAGTTAACCCTGACAGACGACATTTCGTCCAACCCTCTTGAGTGAGTGCGGACGTAAATAGGCGCCGTTGAAAACTCGCTTCAATGTGATCTGAGTTCCGGGTGTTGTAGATGACATGTCCAAGAAGAACCCTTTCCCCAATAAGAACATTTAAAATATAGCTTATTTTGTACACTCGCACCAACGGATATTTTAGAAATACTAAGGCAGGCCAGGAAGTTAGTTGTTGGTTATCTGGTGGTGGGTCAGTGCGATCTCTCCCTATCCCACCCTGATTCGTAAACGGGGAAAACGTTAAACTGAATTCAGACCATCATCTAATTGCAAATACCATACTCTCTAAAACTACACTTCTCCAAAAACACTTGGCGGCAATTTTTGTTTAAATTCTTTTCGAACGTTGCAGCCCAGACTCAAATTGCGTGTTTCGGCCCTTCACATATGCACGAGTTGTACACAGATCTGCAGAATGTATGCCTATCAGCATAGGCCTACTGACATACATTTTCACAATTAATTTGATGCAGATAATTTACTCCAATTAAACTACAATTTGAGAAATATAGCCTGTCACCAGATATACTATTTTCCTATGCAATAAGAAAAAAAAGATTGCATTTTAATTAAGAGTCAGAAAATATTTAAATGATGTTCAATATAAATCAAAGTGAACCTATTGCCCTATGCGTATTCCTCAGCTAAAATGAGAGACCTGCACATAGGTATTTGAGCAGGCCTACATTTTTTCAATCCATGATCAAATCTCTGTTATGAACTTCTAGATTAATAAGCAGGCAAAAATAATAGTTTAGTCAAAATAGTTTTATGATTGTCGACTACGTGCAGCTGGTTTCCTTTCCATTTAAACTTGTCAAGCTCTGACCTCCATTTAAAGTAATGTGAAACCATTTGGCGGAATAGCGCTGCGGCGGAGGTTTGTATAGAAAGCTGCAGAGTTTGATGCAGCCTGGGGCAGGCGGCGGGTGACCAAGGATTCCAGCCTTAACACCGTTATCCGCTGTATCCTCAATTTGAAATAATTTTGTCAAATAAAAGGATGCATTGGATGGCCATTGATATCCATGGGGATAGATGGTGGTGAAATTGACTAGTCTATATTTGTTTAGGGATTTTTTCTGGAAGGCGATATCGCAACGATGGTGTGGCAGACGTTCAGAAGTTTACAAAGAGGCGACTTCAGTGCTCTTCTGCTGGCTGTGGCGGTGCTTGGGGTTCTGTTCGCAGGGATGCAAGAAACCACAGCATTTCCCACCTGGAGAATAGAGGTATGGTGTGACAATTCCACTTTTTAACTGGATACCTCCTTTAATTGCACTGGTGAATACTTCATTCAGTTTCTATGCTGGAATAAGTTATGATCAAGATTTTGGATGATTAAACCCATTTAGGGCAACAATATTTTCTTTTCATTTGAACTTTTTTTTTCAGTGTCTACCAAGACATCTGCTTGGTGACAAATGAGCAAATAATAAATAAATAAAATGTAATTGTAATATTAATCATATTTTTGGTTAAAGGGTAGACTATACCAACTGACTTCATCAGACAGAAATTCCTTCATATAATCAGTAATTATACATGATATAATGTAGCCTATTCATATTATATAATTGGAGGAATTCTGTAGTTTTGATGGTGCATTCAATGAATATAATTGTAGGCATTTACAATGGCTACCTATCAACTGGATAGCCTACAGTTAGTATAGAATAAGAGACAACATTTTCTTTGAAATAGACATAACATCACAAGAGACAGACTCGCTTGTATGATATGCAATCTCTGTAGAATAATGAAGAATTTGGTTGGTTTTGCCCTGATTTCTTTCCCAGTTCAGGAAAACATAGGTCTACAACTATTTTTATTGCATTGTAGCCACAATAAACATGTTTTGATCTGGCTGGATGAAGTATTTTCCCTCACTTATACCAACTTAGCTATTCTAAAAAAAAGTGTCTTCTATTGTTCATTAATTCACACTATGTCAAATGCAGACTTCTCAGAATCCTTGATTAGTAAACCAGGGGCAAATAGTTTGGGAATCTTCAAAGGAGAGGACAGTAAGAGGAGCTTAGCATGTTGGTTGAGCACTGAATGATCAGGTTCTGAAGGTTAACTCCAGTGGCTTGTTTTGGAACATGTTCAGTTGTTTTCCATAGGAAGGAATGGAGTAGCAGTTTGCAAATGGTACAGCTTAGAACAACATGTAGCTTCAAGAAATCATGATTTAGGGCCAGGCTACATGGACTGTTCTCACATTGCTCCAACTTAAGTGGAATGCCTGCTCCAACTTCTAGGCTATGTCCTCTTCTCTTGTAGTGTATGTTTCCTTGACTCTGTTATCAGTGTGGCAGGAAGTCTTCAGTCTTCTGCAGGGCTCCTCTGGTGTTAGTCTGGGAGTCTAGGCCTCAGCTCTTGGCAAAGCCCTTGTTTTCCTGGAACATTGAAAAAGGAATGCATATGATGTGTGAAACTTACTCCTCAGCCTGAAGTGTCCCCACTTATGCCAGCGAATAGCTAGCTTTTTGCGTGGCGCAGACTGGTAAGCCGCTTCAGGAGGGCGGTCACGTTTGCTAGCATGGCAGAGGTCCCGAGTTAGCGCCAGGTATGGGCCGAATCGGGGGGAAGTGGTACTCGCTAAGCAAGCAGCGTGACGTCCCTTACATATAGTGTCTACATCATTTCTCTGAGAATAACTATTTCCTTTACATACAGATATTTTAATAGTATAAATTCAGATTTTCATAAATAGCCATTTCTTTGGGTTGTATTCCCACTGTATTTGTATGTAAGTTTGGAACTTGGTCAGGACGTGTTGGTCCAATCCCTTATCGTTGATGGTAAGGACTGTGGAGTAGAGCCGTGGATAGGCTAAATTAGCTTATTCACTTGTCATAAAAGTCCCCGGTCACAAAGTCCCCTAAAGTTATTTGGATAATCAGTCAGTGTATACTGTAACTGTATATTTTACATTCTATTATTATTATGTAATAACAAAGTCACAACATAGTTCTAAATACTCTTAAACAGTAAGCACCTATAGCTGATCCAGGTGTTATTATTTGGAAAGTCTTATTTGCCCCTCCCCAAAGGGACATCAGACATATTGTATCTGCAAAATGTATCATACTTAATGTTAGGAAAACAGTTTTACTGCTGACCACTTCCTTTTTCTACGAAATGGAATGCCCTTGCATGAAAATGTAACATTCACATGCAAGGCATTGGAATAATAGCCTGTAGAAACAGCAGAATTACAATAGAGTTGAGTATCCTCAGCTGGTCAAGTCAAACCAGAACCCTTGCAGCATGGAACTGTTGATTGTTTAGATTTTGTACATTATAACTATAAATACTGTATAAATTAACACCATGAATCACAACTGTCAGTTCAACTAACAGTGTAAGTAGACTACAGTACAACGTTAACTCTGTGCTGCTCCCAGCCTGTTACTTGAAGTGTGTCAGAAGGTTGGGTACTGTGGCAGTAAAAATACAAATGTTTACTGTACCATGGTTAAATAAAGATCTGTTTCAAGAGACTTTCGTTTTTTTTTTTTACTTCTCATGAATGATGTTGAATAAATGTGTTATACATTTTTTTATGAATGATACTGCAGCAACATGAATAAAGGTGTAATGACTGGTATCATAAAGGTGTAATGACTGGTATCATAAAGGTGTAATGACTGGTCTCATAAAGGTGTAATGACTGGTATCATAAAGGTGTAATGACTGGTCTCATAAAGGTGTAATGACTGGTATCATAAAGATGTTATGACTGGTATCATAAAGGTGTAATGACTGGTCTCATAAAGGTGTAATGACTGGTATCATAAAGATGTTATGACTGGTATCATAAAGGTGCTATGACTGGTATCATAAAGGTGTTATGCATGCTTTATGTATACCCCCTTCAAGTAAAGTGTTACCACTTACTTTTACTTTTTACTCCTTGAGGATCTCCACCGCATTCTGTTTTGGTCCAGTTTCTCATACTTCTGTTCTTCCATCTCATGTTGTTACCAATATTCTCCTGGTCCTTGGTTATTTGGTCAGGTTCAGACACTGGATCAAGTCATTCTGGATATTGGCGGGAACTGGAAAACACTGTCATACAAGTTGATCTGTAAAACGCTGTTGTACACGTCGATCCAGAGCATCCCAAACATGCTCAATGGGTGACGTCTGGTGAGTATGCAGGCCATGGAAGAACTGGGACATTTTCAGCTTCCGGGAATTGTGTACAGATCCTTGCGACATGGGGCCATGCATTATCATTGTCACGTTCGTTGAGTAAATGGTCGGACCAAGGTGCAGCGTGGTATGCGTACATGTTTAATTTATTAAATAAATACTTGACAAAATAACAAAAGCAACTGAACGTGAAGTTCTAAAGGCTAACAGCAACAAGCCTAAACAGAAACAAGATCCCACAACTAAAGGTAGGCAAAATGGCTGCCTAAGTATGATCCTCAATCAGAGACAACGATCGACAGCTGCCTCTGATTGGGAACCACACCCGGCCAACATAGAAATATATAACATAGATATGTCAACATTCACACCCTGACCAAACTAACTAGAGAATAACAGGGTTCTCAAGGTCAGGGCGTGACAGTACCCCCCCCCCCCCCCCCCCCCAAAGGTGCGGACTCCGGCCACAAAAACCTAACTTATTAGGGGAGGGTCCGGGTGGGCATCTAGCCTCAGACGCTGTAAACTCCTCTCCTTTCCTGCCTCCCCGTAGCACACCTGGTCCGGTCTGGATCCCGGTGCGATGCTTCCCCTCTCAGTCCTCCCACAATGCACCAAGCCCTGTCTGGACCCTGGTGTGAGAGCCCTCGACCCTGGAGAGGCGTTGACGTCTGGTTCCGGCTCGGCAGTCCTCCTGCGATGCACCAAGTCCTGTCTGGACCCTGGTGTGGGAGGCCCCGATCCTGGAGAGGGGTTGACGTCTGGTTCCGGCTCGGACCCGGTGGAGCAGATGGCTCCGGCATGGAGGAAGAGTAGGCGACCGGACCCGTACTGGGCACCAGTGGAGCGGACTGCTCTGGCACTGGACTGGAGCCGCTGACCGGAGCTGGATTGGGCACCGGTGGAGCGGACTGCTCTGGCACTGGAACGGGCCTTACCGGGCTGGGGACACGCACCACTGGTTTGGTGCGAGGAGCAGGTACGGGGCGCACCGGGCTGACGACACGCACCACTGGTTTGGTGCGAGGAGCAGGTACGGGCCGTACAGGACTGGAGACACGCACCACTGGTTTGGTGCGAGAAGCAGGTACGGGGTGTACCGGGCTGGCGACATGCACCACTGGTTTGGTGCGAGGAGCAGGTACGGGCCGTACAGGACTGGAGACACGCACCACTGGTTTGATGTGAGAAGCAGGTACGGGGTGTACCAGTGGTGCGTGTCGCCAGCCCGGTACGCCCCGTGCCTGCTCCTCGCACCAAACCAGTGGTGCGTGTCTCCAGTCCTGTACGGGCCGGACCTGCTCCACGCACCAAACCAGTGGTGCATGTCGCCAGCCCGGGGCGCACCGGGCTGGGGACACGCACCATTTGTCTGGTGTGAGGAGCAGGCACAGGCCGTACAGGACTGGAGACACGCACCACTGGTTTGGTGCGAGGAGCAGGCACGGGATGCGCCGGCGCATAGCCTGGTGCCTGCACAGTCACACGCTCCTCAAAGCGAGTGCGGGGAGTTGGCTCGCTTCTGAAACCTGGCTCCACCAGCCTCTGCTCTAAGGACCGAGCTCTCTGCTGCTGGAGGGTTAACTCATTTCTCAGCTCCTCCTGTTGCCTGGCCAGCTCCTCTCTCCGTGCATCCACTGACTCCTTCTCCCAGAGGGCCTCCTGCAGCGCCTCCTTCTGAAGGGAGAGCACCTGCTCCCTCTTATCTATCAGCCCCCGTAAGGTGGTGGTCTCCTCTCTCAGAGTGCTGAGCTGCAGGTCTTTCAGGGCCTCCTGCTGCTTCGCCCACCACCCCATGTGCCCCCACCAAAAAATGTATTGGGGCTGCCTCTCGGGCTTCCTTAGTGATCAGGACCTTTTGAGTCACCGTTTTTTCTCCCTCGCTGTCTCCGTCTGCTCCCAAGGAAGGCGATCCATACCTGCCTGGATCTCCTCCCACGTCCATGATCCTTTTACGTCTAATATCTCCTCCCATGTCCATGATGTCTGCTCCTCCTGTTCACGCTGCTTGGTCCGTTGGTGGTGGGATCTTCTGTCACGTTCGTTGAGTAAATGGTCGGACCAAGGTGCAGCATGGTATGCGTACATGTTTAATTTATTAAATAAACACTTGACAAAATAACAAAAGCAACTGAACGTGAAGTTCTAAAGGCTAACAGCAACAAGCCGAAACAGAAACAGAAACAAGATCTTGGCAAAGAAGAAATGCTCACTAACAGGGATGTAACAAATTTGTGCACAACATTTTAGAGAAATAAGCTTTTTGTGCATATGGAACATTTCTGGGATCTTTTATTTCAGCTCATGAAACATGGGACTAATACTTTACATGTTGCGTTTATATTTTTGTTCAGTGTAAAAATAAGTCTCACTTAAGGCCAACCCAGCGAACACAGAACTTATCTGTAACATTCCCTAAAGATTATCCTTTGTCAAATAACTTTCCCACAAAGTTCTGGAAACCAACATTTGTTTGCTGGGAATCCAGATCCCGATCATAAATATAAATTACATCTGGATGTTGAGGTGACATGTGTCTAGTAGGTTGTAACTCCTCCCCCTGCTCTTAACTGGTCGAGCCAAATCTCAGGTGGTTAATCTACGATTATTTTGTCCAAGGAAGAAGTTCACACCTCTGGTGTGTTACTGATTGGGATTCGCAAAGATGCCCGCACACAGGTTCTACACCTCTCCAGGAACAAGCGCTACACCCTCACCCCTGAGAAACTCAAATGGGACAAGTTCAAGCTCACATACAAGTATGGAGATTATTTTATTTCACCCTCCTTTCTTACCAAACATTTACTGCCTAAAAACAAAAGGAAATGCTGTTTGATTTGACTTCAGACATATTTACGAGGGACAGTTGTCTTAGAGATTTATTCAGACTTTCTGATAGAGCCAATTGCTTTTACTGATTTCTGCTGTTGTAATATGCCAAGTGGTTTCCCCAGATAATGTCATTGTGTCTGTGCAGGCTGCTCTCTTTCCCAAGGAACCTGATGAATGCCAGTGACACGCGCAGAGGCATCGCCAAAGCCTTCACTATGTGGAGTGACGTCTCGCCCTTCAGCTTTAGAGAGGTGCCTGCTGACCAGGAGGCAGACATCAAGATAGGTGGGGGCACAACAACTTATACCTAAAGCATATCAGGCATGATTACTGGCATATAATCTAGTAGAAGGCCTATACAGTGACGTGTCTGAAATGCCCTCAGCATTTGAAATGAACAAATCTCCCTCTACTGTAGAGTTATCTAATGTTCAGCATGATTCATGGCTCTATTTGTATGAGAAAGAGTCCTGTACACCTTCCAAGCATGTGTAATCATTTTAAAGTGATCTAAATCATGCCGAAGCCATCCGAGTGGGAGCACGCACCACGGTCTGGGAGTCTTGACCGTGTGAAAAATGGCAGTCATCCTCAGGGGGGTTGAGAAGTTTGGAATCCATCATCTTCTAGACTCGACTGTATGTAGAATGAGATAGAGGCTGGAGAGTTTCCCCTCTTGGTTGTGCTGTCTGAGGCACAGCTCTCTCTCTCTTTTTGGCAGGCTTCTACCCCATCAACCACACAGACTGTCTGCAGTCCTACTTGCACCACTGTTTCGACGGCATCACCGGCGAACTGGCCCACGCCTTCTTCCCTTCGACGGGCGAGATCCACTTTGACGACCATGAGTATTGGATTCTGGGAAACATGCGCTTCAGCTGGAAAAAAGGCAGGCACTTCGGGTGATCTCTTTCCTGTTTTTGTAAGCTGCTGTTGTGCACTCAGCACCAAAGCTACTTGCTGGATGTCCAGCTCAATTAGTCAGATGCACTGGGTTGAAAAGTGAAAATTGTGGACACTGTAGTTGGTAATTATGTCTTGAAGCTGGAATAGTCCACAGTGTAATACTGTGCCTAAATGTGTAATGGTTGGAAGATACTGTGAACTTAGAAGCGTAGCTTGATTTTGCCGTTGTTGTTAGATTAACTGCGTCTCAGTAGTCGGCTCCTTCATCGACACTGATCTGAAAAGACAGGTATAGCTGAAAGTCATATGTTGTTAAGCCACTCGGAACTAACTTTCATGTGTATAGTTCCGTTAGATATTTCAGTGGATGAGGGAAAGGACTTGAGCCACTTTAGACTATTGAAATGCACCCCAATTACTGAGACAGAATTAACAGTGTTGTGTTGTTGTTTGTGCAGGGGTGTGGCTGACAGACTTGGTCCATGTAGCGGCTCACGAGATTGGCCACGTCCTAGGCCTCATGCACTCCCTGAACCCCAAGGCTATCATGCACCTGAACGCAACTCTAACGGGGCGCAAGCTCATCACACAGGACGAGGTGTGGGGGCTGCACCGACTCTATGGTAAGCCAAGAGCCCTGTAAAACAGACTGAGAATCAACAGTGTCGTATTGTTTTGTAGCATATCTTTCAAATGAAATAAATCCTCATTTAAAATAATGGTCCCACTTTAAACAACCAATTTATATAGGCTTTATAGAGTATTCATGAAGTCTTCCTAAGCACTACATAGATGCTTCACAAATAATTGATTTACTACCTGCTGCAAGTAAACGTGGCGTTAATGCGTATTGTTGAACCTTTACAGTGAGTCATTGTAAATGTGAAGGCAGATTGTCATCCCAAATTCCTTTGCTGCAGACTGAAATTTGCGCTCTCATCCCTCTCTTCCCTCCCCCTCTCCTGTAGGATGTTTGGATAGATTATTTATCTGTCCAGCCTGGGCGCGGAAAGGCTATTGCGAAAGCAAGCGCAAGCTCATGCAGAAGCACTGCCCCTCCAGCTGTGATTTCTGTTACGGTAAGAGCAGCACTGCAGAGGAAAAAAGATGACTCCCAATCTGCTGGTGCAAGGAATCGCATCTGTACCGTTTGCCAATACATCGAAACGCAGCCAACGAAGTCCAGCCATGCAGAACCATGATGAGGGTTTGCAGCCATCCTGATTTAAAGTCAGATTGGATACTTGCCACTGGATGAGACTCATTGAGAAAGAATTACCTCAATGAATTTTGGTCTGCTTTATAGTAAGCGAGCAGAGCATTTTAGTGAGGCACCTCGACAGCTTAAATTCCCATAACCTCCGCAGCCAGTCTCACCAGGACCAAGCCTCCAGTTGCACAACAGGATATGACTCCTCCTCGCCACGGCAGCCATAGATTGTTGTGGGTTTGTCCAATTTATATGTGTAACAAGGGAGAATGTGGAGAGGAGAGAGGATACCATTCCTGGCTCCTAATCTGTTCTTCATTGTTGATTGGGAGACGTTGTACGGCTGTGGAAAATTCCAGAGTGACTCCAAACCACTGGAATTTCAGACTGTGGCTTGAGGGTTAGAGACGCGGAAGGTCAATTTGGGATTTTTGCAGCTTAAACTAGTGGCTGTCTTTTAAACAGACTTCCAGCTGATCATGAGGCACAACATTGTGTTTACACTCATCGAATGGCTGTAGCACTTGGGTAAATTAACTAGGTAGAGAATGTCCTTAAACATCTACAATGGGTTTCTTGACAGGTGCTATGGAGTTTTTTGATGCACAACATGTAGGCAGATAGGAGCTTTTATGCTTAGTTTGAGTGTGTATGTCTTGGGGGATAATTTTAAGTTAAATTCCTACTCAGATCAAATTAAACAATTAGTAAGAAGACATTTTCTGGGAGCTTCGTTTACTTTTTGGAGTAAACATTTCATGAAAAGACATTAACATCCTCTTGTGAAATGAAAGCCATACCACACCGAGTCATGTCTGGTTAAGACTATACAGAAGTGGATTCCCCAGCCTTTAACCTTATGTTCCCTAACTTTCCTCAGAGTTCCCCTTCCCCACCATGGCCCCCACCCCCACCCCCCAACGGACCAAACACAAGCTGGTGGCTGAAGGGAAGAATCTCACCTTCCGATGTGGGAAGAAAATTGCCGCGAAGGCAGGCAAAGTATAGTGAGTATGTCTTATTTAGCCCAGTATCACTTCTAATAAATCACGATATCATACCAACAATAGACTGAATTTAAATGGATTTTTACTGTTTCTGTAGCTGGTACAAGGACGGAGAGCTTCTGGAGTACTCCCACCCTGGCTACATCTCCCTAAAAGACGACCACATCAGTATCGTGGCCAACGCCATCAACGAAGGCACATATACCTGCATCGTGAGGAAAAAGAACAAGGTCCTCACCAACTACTCCTGGAGGGTACGCGTGCGCTTCTGAGGGTGATGCCACCCTCCGCACACAGAAGCACTGGGAATTAGCACAGAGACCACACAGACAGACACGACCATAGAAATATAATTACTAGAAGAGGAAAAGCCCTTAGACCACTGCATTTTCACCCATTGACTTGAATGGGATGTCCGTTCTAGGAATTATATTTCAAAGCACACCTTCACTCACACATTGCTTGTTCAAACGGGGACCTCACTCACTTGGGCACATATTTTAATGTTCTGTCTAAACAATACCCTCAAAACAATCATGTTTTAGGTCTGTTTTTTTGTTTGTTTTGTAATGCATTTTCATATGTGCACAATAAACACTTTTATTGATGTAAAACTACATTTTGTGTCCGAGCGAGTATTAGATACACTGCTGGCATTGTTTCTGTTATGTATTATGTGAACAGACTGTTCATTGAAGTTATAGTTCACTAACACAGGGTAGCTAGTAGCCTGGAATTTCGAATAAATGTAACTAGCCTAGCTACTTTATGCCATGGGTAATGCATTCTAAAAGCTACTGCATCAATGCATGCCATCTACACAAAAATATAAACGCAACATGTAAAGTGTTGGTCCCATGTTTCATAAGCTGAAATAAAAGAACACAGAAATTTTCCATATGCACAAAAAGCTAATTTCTCTAAAATCTTGTGCACAAATGCATTTACATCCCTGATAGTGAGCATTTCTCCTTTGCCTAGATAAAACATCCACTTGACAGGTGTAGAATATCAAGAAGCTGATTAAACAGCATGATCATTAAACAGGTGCACCTTGTGCTGGGGGACAATAAAAGGCCACTAACGTGTGCAGATTCGTCACGCACACAATGCCACAGATACCTCAAGTTTTGAGGGAGCATGCAATTGGCATGGTGACTGCAGGAATGTCCACCAGAGCTGTTGTTCATTTCTCTACCATAAGCCGCCTCCAATGTCGTTTTAGAGAAATTTGGCAGTACGTTTAACCGGCCTCACAACCGCAGACCACTTATAACCACACCAGCCCAGGACCTACACATTCGGCTTCTTTACCTGCGGGATCATCTGAGACCAGCCACCCGGACAGCTTATGAAACTGTGGGTTTGCACAACCGAAGAATTTCTGCACAAACTGTCAGAAACCGTCTCAGGGAAGCTCATCTGCGTGCTCGTCGTCCTCACCAGGGTCTTAAGCTGACTGCAGTTCGGCTTTGTAACCAACTTCAGTGGGCAAATGCTCACCTTCGATGGCCACTGGCATGCTGGAGATGTGTGCTCTTCACGGATGAATCCCGGTTGCAACTGTACCGGGCAGATGGCGTCGTGTGGGCGAGCAGTTTGCTGATGTCAACGTTGTGAACAGAGTACCCCATGGTGGCGGTGGGGTTATGGTATGGACAGGCATAAGCTAAGGACAATGAACACAATTTCATTTTATCTATGGCAATTTGAATGCACAGAGATACCGTGATGAGATCCTGAGGCCCATTGTCGTGCCATTCATCCGCCGCCATCACCTCATGTTTCAGCATGATAATGCACGGCCCCATGTCGCACGGATCTGTCCACAATTCCTGGAAGCTGAACATGTCCCAGTTCTTCCATGGCCTGCATACTCACCATGTTTGGGATGCTCTGGATCGAAGTTGCGTAAACCAAAAACATTGTTTGCAGTCACATTAACTGTTTGGACCTTTATTCAGATATGGAAAACCTAAGACATCCAGCTAGTTTTGCTATGTTTAGGTGGAGCCAATGCTTTTCCTACTCATTTGACACATCAGGTGTAATACTCCACAGAAGGGCTTAGAGGGGACTTGCAGATAAAACTGATTAATGTATATGTCAATTTCTGCTGGTTCTAAGGAGTACCCAGGCGAGGGAACGTTTTGCAACTGTTCCAGTCCGAGCAGCCAGCCGTCTCCCAGGAATGAGACTGTACTGTTTATTTTCCTCCAGCTAGAAATCAAAGAATTTATTGGTTTAGTCCTAAAAATCACAAGCCACTTTAACAACAAAGACAGAAGTCTGGGGCTCTTTCCCCTGAAAGAACTAAGTCCTGAGACAAAGTGTGCAGAGCAAAGAATTACATCACTCTTGGACGGTTACTATTGAGCTGGGTTCAAGGCTGGAATTGTTTTGGGACTCAACGTCCCTTCTTTTTTTCTTTGGCAGGCAGTGTGTGGTGCTGTTTGCTTAGCTTAGACAGCATTTATAAATACCAGCAAAAAGGTTTAACATTTTATTTCTAGCAAAAACATGTCCTGGTATGTTAGCCGTCAGTCATACGGTTAAGTCCTTACAATATGATGGATTGATATGGATCTAACGCTGCTTCATTATTATACAGTAGCTCCAGTACTCAGGAAATACCAACCACTTAAAATCTGGTCCTCTTCCGCAGTGTAAAAAAAGATGGAAAACAAAAAGCCAACATGAGCTAAGCTACTGACAAATTGTAGTTTTGTTTCGATGCACTTGTCAGAGTCGAGAATGTTAAAATAATTGACGGTTTAACTGTTGGGATTCATCCATACGGAAAGAGACATTAAGCGGGTTTGTCCATGGTTCATGTCATGTGACGACCAGTCTGTACCCTCACAGGGTCACAATGAGGGCAGTAAGATGACCCCTGACACCGGAGGCCATTCCCACAATAAGCCCAGCCACATTAAAAACGACATGTCCCATGATTAATTGTCTGGTCAGGTGACCAGGCTAGTCTGTCTCTTCCCATACACAGGGTGTCCTGTCCTCCATGTGTAGCTCAGAACTTGAGGCTGAACCCTGGGCCCACAGCAGAAGCCCCTTGGTTGCTGGTGGTCAGATGGAAGCCTGTGTCTTTCAGGTCATCGTCACCCTGGAGAGAGGACAAGCCACACACTTTAGCTGATGAGGTACATTGCTGTTATAATAATAAACAGAAATAATGTATTCTAGAAACATAAGTAGTAAGCAGTGGGAGAATGTCTCGACAACACATAGTAAAGTGCTGTAGGTCAACAATCTGTGTATGACAGAAACTGAGCTCAGATGTCAAACCCTAGGTCGACATAGGGATGTAGAGTTAAACTCAGCCTCACCAGCTGACTGTAGCCCAGGCCTCCCTCGGGGGGGCGCGGGCTGGTGCCCCTCTTCACCCTCTGTTGCTCGCTCTTGGCAGGCCAGGTGGGGAACATGGACGGGTCGATGGGCTGTGGCGTCTCCCGGAAATACTCGTGCTTCAGTGCCTCGTCCGACAGGATCCTCTTGCTGGGGCAGTAGGTGAGGAACCTTGGGGAAAGGGAAAAGGTCAAGGCCAGGGGCGGCAGAGGTCACTCAAAATGGCAGCACTTCTGTAATCTGTTTTAGAGATTCCACAGAGCACATGGGGTCCCTCTCCATAGTCTAAAGCGGCGTCCTTTCCCTCATCTCATCTGAACACACAAGGTAAGTGAAAGCAACAAGGCTGACACAATGCAATCTTGACCTTCCGGGATTAATAACATTGTTTTGAATTGAACGCCTTCCAAGAGTTGTCTTTCGTCTGTCCAGTTATTTCACATCAGAGAAGTTGGAGAGATGCCGATGAGAAGAAGTCCCCTTTAAACTATTGAGATTAGGGCTTACCCTATTTAGTCGACTGGTCGATTGTTTGGTCGACTGAGATTTCTTTAGCCGAGCAGTAGCAAAAAATAAAATATCATGGTGTACAAGACACCTGTCTAATTCGCGCCTGTGAGTGGACTTATCCATTGTGGAGGCAGTGGGGATGGCACAGTCCATCAGTCTACGACATGTGCTACTGAAACTGTATATAGTTATATTACATAAGAAAAATGGAGAAACACTAATAAAAATAATATTATTTTATAACAAAATGCGCTTTCTCCCGCTGTTGAATTGGCACCTTTTCCTAGACCATGTTGCTATGTGCATAATAGCAAAGTTAACCAGCATATTGGTGTTGAGAACAATGTGGCGGAGGCAGCAGCAGAATGAGATGAGAAAACAGCCCTTGCCTTATTGTCTAAGAAAAGTGAGGAGCGAGGAAACCCTAACTTAATTAGGTCTATAATCAGTAGCCTAACTGTTAAATGTGCCTGGCTTTATACATCAATAAATCTACAGAAATAAGACAGGTCCTGCTTCTGTTGCCTGTTTGAGTGTTTGTTTAATAGCCTACTGATTCCGTGAGCACCAAGCCTCACTCAACAACATGTCAAGTAAACTATTTCACAAATTCAATCTTTGCTGTAATAAAGGATTTACACTTTTTTCCCATTAGAACAGCCTCTGGTATTATTTATAATTGATTTAGTGTTCAGACTGTTCCAAATTGTCAGAAAAATAATATTTATAATAACATCACTCCTTTTTCTTGATCTCCTTCTTATTGTTATTTACATTTTAGTCATTTAGCAGAGGCTCTTATCCAGAGTGACTTACAGTTAGTGAGTGCATACATTTTCATACTGGCCCCCAGTGGGAAACGAACCCACAACCCTGGCGTTGCAAGCACCATGCTCTACCAACTGAGCTACAGGGGACATGATGTTATGATCATAAGTAGTGTCATTAACATTAGTAGGCTTTAAGATATGCTATAGGTCAGGCCCCATTGTACCCAATTCAGACGGGATTAGTTTTACTGGGGGAGGTCGGGTAATGTAATTATGTGCACGAGCACAAAACATCTGTAATTTTAGTCTGGTCTGTACCCTCCATGGCAGTAATTTTTACATGGCAGGAGAGTAACAATTCCAGACTGAATAGCCTACTGTTTTTTGGCAAACTTCAAGGTTCTCTGATAATACTAGTCCTGTGCTAATCGACATCCCTGTGTTTTGAGAGAAATGTCTGAGTTTGACAGGTGTTGCTCGCGGTTTGCACATGAAAACAATAACTGATTCCATAAATTTAACTAAGTGCTGCGCATAAGCTATATATGCCTATTAATTGAATATTGCCAAATGCATCAGTAAAAAAATAGAGCCTATTTAATGCAACCCTTGCTGTTAATAGATAGCAAAGCAGCATACAACTGACTTAAACGTTTGGAAATGATAAGTTAACTTTCTCATCCATAGCCTTAAAACGCATCTCAAGCGCAATTGCACTGTTTCGCTCACATCTGAAGGCTGGGGGGCATTTAGGACGTACTGCGGATCGCTAATATATCCTAATGATTATGGTCACAATTCCTCAATTCAAATATTATGTCGACACTATATGAATGATGGTTTGGTATGGTTTAGAAACTTGGGAACCAAGCTAGAGTTATCAGAGTAGCCCGATCACCTGGACATGTTGAAATACTGTATATTCACGCCTAGAATAAAAACCTCCAGGCTTCCGTCATAACTGTAAATTTATAAATAATAAATAAATTTAAGAAAACGAATTACAGGGGGCAATTTGGAATAAAACTAATCCCGTCCGAATTGTCCTCTAGAATAATGGATATTCTGTAGTAGTAATTACATAACCAACGTTCTCTAGTAATACTAGCGCCGTACAATAGGTCTTTGGTCACGTGCACAAGATGCATACGTGTCACGTAAAGAGAGAGCAAGGGTTGAGGGAATAGGGAATATTTTTCCTAAACGAATGAGGGATTTCGGTAACAGAACTTTCCAGTCAGAATTGGCTGTAATTATGTTGCAGCTTCAGCAACACGGACAGCGCGATAAACACTTTGATGTTCTGTGGTGGTCGCTGCAGCAGGGAGGAGAAAGAGACAACGGGTGCTAGTCACAGTCACTCACTGTCTTCATTTTTTAAATATATATATTTTTAAACACAGCGCAGCAAGTCTGAGCCTAGCCCGGCACAATCAAATCAATTGCTGGTCGGACTCCCTCTAGTCATTTGTGTGTCTTAATTATTTAACCAGACAAGCTCAGTAAATATAGTTGATTTGATTAAAACACATAGGATGTGTCAATATATGGAAAAAACACGTGTTAAAATGTAGACCAATCAATTAGAACAAACCAAGATTTGATTAGAACAAACCAAGATTTTATTTTTGTGGGGGCCAGCCCTAATTCAAAACAGTCTATGACTAGGGTGGCTGGAGTCTTTGACAATTTTGAGGGCCTTCCTCTGACACCGCCTGGTATAGAGGTCCTGGATGGCAGGAACCTTGGCCCAGTGTTGTACTGGGCCGTACGCACTACCCTCTGTAGTGCCTTGCGATCGGAGGCCGAGCAGTTGCCATAACAGGCGGTGATGAAACCAGTCAGGATGCTCTCGATGGTGCAGCTGTATAACTTTGAGGATCTGAGGACCCATACCAAATCTTTTCAGTCTCCTGAGGGGGAATAGGCTTTGTCGTGCCCTCTTCACGACTGTCTTGGAGTGTTTGGACCATGATAGTTCGTTGGTGATGTGGACACCAAGGAACTTGAAGCTCTCAACCTGTTCCACTACAGCCCCGTCGATGAGAATGGGGGCGTGCGCAGTCCTCTTTTTCTTTCTTCCTGTAGTCCACAATCATCTCCTTTGTCTTGATCGCGTTGAGGGAGAGGTTGTTATCCTGGCACCACACGGCCAGGTCTCTGACCTCCTCCCTATAGGCTGTCTCATCGTTGTCGGAGATCAGGCCTACCACTGTTGTGTCGTCAGCAAACTTAATGATCGTGCCTGGCCATGCAGTCATGGGTGAACATGGAGTACAGGAGGGGACTGAGCACGCACCCCTGAGGGGCCCCGTGTTGAGGATCAGCGTGGCAGATGTGTTGTTACCTACCCTTACCACCTGGGGGCGGCCCATCAGGAAGTCCAGGATCCAGTTGCAGAGGGAGGTGTTTAGTCCCAGGATTCTTAGCTTAGTGATGAGCTTTGCGGGCACTATGGTGTTGAACGCTGAGCTGTAGGTGTTCCTCTTGTCCAGGTGGGAAAGGGCAGTGTGGAGTGCAATAGAGATTGCATCATCTGTGGATCTGTTGGGGCGGTATGCAAATTGGAGTGGGTCTAGGGTTTCTGGGATAATGCTGTTGATGTGAGCCATGACCAGCCTTTCAAAGCACTTCATGGCTACAGACGTGAGTGCTACGGGTCGGTAGTCATTTAGGCAGGTTATCTTAGTGTCCTTGGGCACAGGGACTATGGTGGTCTGCTTGAAACATGTTGGTATTACAGACTCAGTCAGGGACATGTTGAAAATGTCTGTGAAGACACTTGCCAGCTGGTCAGCACATGCTCGGAGTACACGTCCTGGTATGTGAGATGCACACTTCACCACAGCCCTAAACTCTCCCCCTACAGCCTGGTGCCATGAAGAAGTGTGATGTTCCAAACTGAAACAGGACTGCCATGTCCATCTGGAAAGCCTACACACTCCATGGATAGACTGTTACTCCAGTCCAGTCCTGCGGCTGAAGGCAGTCCGGACCACAGGCGGTCAAGGTCTAATGAGACGGCTAGCAGCCACTGGCCAGGGGTCATTGCACTTCCTGGGTCATGTGACTGTTGCTGCATTCCACTCAGTTGGACTGGTGTCAAACTTCACCCAAAAGCTGACCCCAGCCCCTCCCTTGGCCGTACATGGCCACCCATTACAGGTGTGTGATGCAAATAATAGGGGTGTGAATGTTTAAACTAAATTGATATCGTTAGCGTTTAGAAAAAATCCCTAACTGAAAAACAATGTTAGTTTTTTCTCACAAAATGTAAATCACTGTGTAGTTATCACAAAACATATTATTTGCCGTGTTATAGCCTAACTAGATGATCTGCTATAAAGGCCTGGGGAAAGTTATGTAATTTAAATAAAACCAGGGTGGAAAAGGTGAACTTAAGGCTACTTTGGTAAATATGCGAGATACAGATTACCAAGACATATGCGCATGGTTCATTCTGCCTGCCTCATCCTCTCACCATCTTGCTGGCTCGCCTGCTCCTTCTCTTCGCTAATGATGCTAGTGTGTTCAGTCTTCGGTCTGTTGCGTGTAAAATATCCTAGCCTACTCATTTATGATAGGCCCTGCTTTACTGAAGTTGTGAGACACATGCAACCCAATAAATAAAAACCAAAGCTGGTCTGTCTGTGAAATGCAACACAGGTATGGAGGAGGGCTGAGGTACTTTGATGCAACGCCAAGACGCTTCTTCTCTGTCCTGTTTATAGTCAGCTTGCCAAGAGTGCAGTGACTGAAGCAGAAGACATGGCGAGCATATCACAGGGCAGACCTGACGGCAGACGCACATTACATCAAGGCATAGCAATGCTGATGTTAAACCCCCTGCTGAAAGAGTAAAGAGCACACTGCCGCAGACACACGCACACACGTGCACATTGATGCATACACAATAGTCTTTCAGGTTGATGGATAATTAAGAATTAGGTCAAAATAATGCATTCACTAACTTTAGATATACCGTTCAGTTGAGGTTGAATTTAGAGTAAGTCTGAGGTTTGGTGTAAATAGGTTAGTAATGAATAGTGTTGTAATTAACCATGTGGTTGAGATGGTTAGAGGTAAGTGCAAGGCTGAAGTTGAGTAGACGTACTTGTTCATGAGGTCGAAGCCCTGGTCTGAAAGCAGGGCTCCGAAGCGCTTACGCATGTTGTTGTAGGGGTACTCTGTGAAAGTCATCTTCTTCACGGCAGGGAGCTCGTTGTAGCCCGGCCAAATCTTCTCGCTGGGCGACCCCAAGTCCTGGCGAGAACACGCATCAACACACAGACACAGAGTTAATGTGTGTGTGTGTGTGTGTGTGTGTGTGTGTGTGTGTGGGGGGGGGGGGGGGGGTCCCCACTTTGTCTGGTATGTTAGGAACTGCTAAGTGAGGAGTGCTGGAGCACAGTCAAGAGCACAGCTTTTAATCAGAGTTTTACAGTTTACCCAGTCAGACAAGACTGTTACATCACACTGTATCTAAAAGAGACTGGGTCATTGTCGCTTTCTGAAAAATAGATTGTGTCGTCACATGAAATCCATTTAATCCGACTATATTCTATTCATAACTCTGCCACCCTGTGGAGAGATCATAAAACTGCAAAACTCACAAAAACACATGTGGTGGCTATCAAGAATGTATTCAGATGTAGGCGTGGGGGTAAAGTGCTATTACGTTCCAGACAGTATGAAGTAAATGGACTTCTTGATCAAAATGAGCTAACCTTAAATATCTTGTTAATTTGGTCGATTTCAGATTTTCCAGGGAAGAGAGGTTTCTGGGTAAGGAGCTCTCCAAATATGCAGCCCACAGACCACATGTCCACAGCTGTGGAGTACTCCTGTGGAGAGAAAAACACACACTCGCTAAAACCACAGTATTCCAAGGAACAGATAGCACTACACAAGTCTGGGTTGGAGTGTATAGTCTGGGCGTGGACAACCTTTGACTTGGTGCTGTGTGTATGTAGTCTTGGGCTATGTTCAGAACCGCATACTTCTACACTACTTGAAGGTGTACAAAGTATGTGTTGTGTTGTCTGGGTGTGTTAAGGTTCACAGTCAGGTAGGGACTTATTTAGGGTTTAGAATGGCACCATTTTGACTGTAGAGGGTCTTTGATTACTTTTATGTTTCTTGAGACGTTTTGACTCAGAAGTAGTTTTTTTGAGTCTGTGTAGACCAGAGGTATTTTGACATAGTATTGTTGTGTCTCCGAATGCAGGTGTGTAATCTCGTTCCCAGACACTTCCGCCCAAATGCGAAGAGTCTGGTGGACCAACACGCCAAACTTGGCCTTCGTTAGCCAATACAGAAAGACCATCAGAAACTCCTGGTGCATAGGCATTAGCTTAATCTACCAACCAATCATCTCCCATAACACCTTCCACCTAAACTAGTACACCACAAGCACAGAGCTACGCTTTGCAGTCATGTGATTCGCAAATTTCTTTATTAGGACAAATACTTTACTCAGTAATGTCACTCCCATAGAATTCTATGGTCACTCCCACCAAGGCCAACTTTGAATCGTTGATATGCGCTGCGCTCAATAGCCTGGGAACGAGGTTAGTTACTGTGTGGCTATGTTGCCCCTGAGACACTGATCAAAGGTCGGTTTTGCATGTCATCCCACAAATGGTAATTAGGATTTGGGGAGGGTAAACTGATTCTAGATCTGTGCTTAAGTTTCGACTCACCTTGGCTCCCAGCAGCAGCTCTGGAGAACGGTACCACAGGGTCACCACAACAGGCGTGTAGGGCTTCAGGGGAGAACCATACTCACGGGCCAGACCAAAGTCCCCCACCTAGAACAGCGCAACAAACATTACAAAGATGCCTATGAGGCAAGCACACACTCTCACACACATTAAAGTCATTATTCTTTGTCATCAACAAGCCTAGAGCCTAGTATTTCTTCATCCGAGCCATGGATGATCTAATCCTCATCTGAAGTTCCCAACCCACAGTGGTTTTAATATTAATATAATGGGACATAGAATAATATAATACAAGAAGACATCTAGGGCACCTTAAGGATCCCCTTGTGACTGAGCAGCAGGTTGGAGGTCTTCAGGTCGCGGTGGAGGATCCAGTTGTCGTGGAGATGGCGGACGCCTCGCAGCAGCTGGATCATCAGGGTCTTCACTTCGCCTGAGGCCGACGAAAAAGAGGAAACGAGAGAGACAGGAGCTCATAAGCTTACATTAAAACAATCATTTAAACCCCAGACCACATTGCCTGGGAAGAAGTACTAACCCTTGTGGTAGCATGGTCACCACAGAAGTATGACTACATTTGCTAGGTAAACAAAGAGAACCCACCAGAGCACACATTTCATTTTAATTCGAAACAGAGCACCACTTACCTAGCCACATGACATGGGAAAATGGCTGGCGGACATAAGCGTACTGTATTTAGTCCAACTCAAACTGTATCCCACAAAGTTACCTGGCAGGAAAGGCTGTTTCATGGTCTCCATCAAGCTCTTCAGGTCGTGCTCCACGTAGTTCATAACAATGTAGATCTTGTCCATGTTGCTTCCAACAACGATTTCCTAACATGGGAGAAAACAGGATTAAGTACAAGTTCAGCTAGCACTAGTATACCTTGCTATTTTATCCGTTTTTTACCACCATTTTATAACTTGAATTTGTGATACACTTTCAGATGAAAGGAGCTAAACAAAACTAATTTCTAAATAATATTGAGGGGGCTTCCTCTGAATCAGGTGTGTGCTGCTCACCATAGAAATAGAATACCAATATGAGATGTATTTCTATGCTCCTCACCCTGACAGTGACGATGTTGGGGTGCTGGGCCTTCAGAATGGTGTTGATCTCTCTCAGAGACGTGATGGGGAAACCTTCTTTCTCCTTCTCCATCTTCAGACGCTTCAAGGCCACAATCTCATCTGAAAGGGAAAGGCATGTTTTAGTGTGTGTCGGAGTCCAGGGATGGATTGGAAATCGATTGCAAGGTAGCCCACATACAGTGCATTCGGAAAGCATTCAGACCCCTTGACTTTTTCCACATTTTGTTACGTTACAGCCTTATTCTAAAATTGATTAAATTGTTTTCTACACACAATACCCCATAATGACAAAGCAAAAACAGGTTTTCAGAAATGTGTGCAAATTTATTAAAACAGAAAAACAGAAATATGACATTTACATAAGTATTCAGACCATTCACTCAGTACTTTGTTGAAGCACCTTTGGCAGCGATTACAGCCTCAGGTCTTCTTGGGTATGATGCTACAAAAGCTTGGCACACCTGTATTTGGGGAATTTCTCCCATTCTTCTCTGCAGATCCTCTCAAGCTCTGTCAGGTTGGATGGGGAGCGTCGCAGCATAGCTATTTTCAAGTCTCTCCAGAGCTGTTCGATCGGGTTCAAGTCCGGGCTCTGGCTGGGCCACTCAAGGACATTCAGAGACTTGTCCCGAAGCCACTCCTGCGTTGTCTTGGCTGTGTGCTTAGGGTCATTGTCCTGTTGGAAGGTGAACCTTAGCCCCAAGTCTGAGGTCCTGAGCACTCTGGAGCAGGATATCATCAAGGATCTCTCTGTACTTTGCTCCGTTCATCTTTACCTCGATCCTGACTAGTCTCCCAGTCCCTCCTGCTGAAAAACATCCCCACAGCATGATGCTGCCATCACCATAGGGATGGTGCCAGGTTTCCTCCAGACGTGATGCTTGGCATTCAGGCCAAAGATAATCTCTTTTCTCCTGGTCTGAGAGTCCTTTAGGTGCCTTTTGGCAAACTCCAAGTGGGCTGTCATGTGCCTTTTACTGAGGAGTGGCTTCCGCCTGGCCACTAGCATAAAGACCTGATTGGTGGAATGCTGCAGAGATGGTTGTCCTTCTGGAAGTTTCTCTGATCTCCACAGAGGACCTCCGGAGCTCTGTCAGAGTGACCATCGGTTCTTGGTCACCTCCCTGACCAAGGCCCTTCTCCCCTGATTGCTCAGTTTGGCCGGGCGGCCAGCTCTAGGAAGAGTCTTGGTGGTTCCAAACTTCTTCCATTTAAGAATGACGGAGGCCACTGTGTTCTTGGGGACCTTCAATGCTGCAGAAATTTTTTGGTACCCTTCCCCAGATCCATGCCTCGACACAATTATTTCTCGGAACTCTACGGACAATTCCTTCATGCATGGCTTGGTTTTTGCTCTGACATGCACTGTCAGCTGTGGGATCTTATATAGACAGGTGTGTGTGCCTTTCCAAATCATATCCAATCAATTGAATTTACCACAGGTGGACTCCAATGAAGTTGTAGAAACCTCTCAAAGATGATCAATGGAAACAGGATGTACCGGAGCTCAATTTCGAGTCTCATAGCAAAGAGTCTGAATACTTATGTAAATAAGGTATTTCTGTTCTTCATTCTTAATACATTTCTAAAAACCTGTTTTCGCTTAGTCATTATGGGGTATTGTGTGTAGAATGATGAGGAAAACAATTAATTTAATCCATTTTAGAATAAGGCTGTAACGTAACAAAATGTGGAAAAAGTGATGGGGTCTGAATACTTTCTGAAGGCACTGTACCTGTTTTTTTGTCCTTGGCCCTGTACACCACGCCGTAGGTCCCTTCCTCGATACGATTAAGACACTGGAACTCCTCGACACTGCGACACCCCTGGAAAAGACATGAAACCAATGTCAATCAACACGTCGATTTGGTGTGTGTACAGGTCTGGGTCAAATATGTATTAGCTTTGTCAAATACTTGAGCATTTCTTGGAATATTCTATTGGGCCCCATTGTACCGGGCAAGCTAGGTCAAGCGCACCTCAGGTATTTGAAATAAAACAAACAGGTATTTGACCCAGGTGTGGTGTGCTTCCAAACACAGACCTGTAAAGCTGGCAGGTACTTGGGCAGCTCCTTCTTTAGCTCCACCGGGGAGATGGGGGGAGAGTCGGGGATGTAGTTCTCCTCAGGCTCAGGGGTGGCTGAGTGGGAGTGAGACACCGACTGGGGGGTGACGTCTCCCTCCCCTGCCTCCGCCTCCTCCTCCTCCTCCTCTTCCTCCTCCTCCTCCTCCTCTCCACTTTCTTCAGTGTCGTGGTCAAACCGGGACTCAGGCACTGTGATGGTTAATGAGGGGGCAGTTATAACTTATTGAAACAGGACAAAATAGCATCTAGCAGCTGGTTGAGTAAGAACTCCTAACCTTTTTAGATAAACAAGCTTCAAGACCAGTCAAAACAAACTTTACTCTCAGACATGACATAATAATAATACCTGTTCAAATGACTGCCACCAGACAAATGGGGTGTGAAATGCCTACCTGGGGGAATATGGTTGCTGTTCTCTCTCTCTTCCTCAAACTCTTCCTCAGACCGCTCGTCTTCACTCACGTCACCTGAAACACAGACAATGGGTGGGTCAGAACCATATCACTGTGACAACACCGTAATGGTAGTAAGGGATAAGACATGCGCACGATCACGCACACAATCACGATAACACAGACACACACAAATTCAGCAGACCTGCAGTCTGGTCAGATTCTCCTGAGCCTGAACCCGATTCCTCTTCCTCTCCCTCACTGCTAGATCCATCTTCATCATTCTCCTCATCGTCAGAGCCCGACCCTGAGCCTAGGGAAGAGAAATCCACTCCATGTCACCGCCAAACTACCCACATTGACATATAACACAAGGAGATGTGTCTTGACTGAATATCTATAACAGAACTCTGTTACTGATTTAACATCAGTAGGAGTGTGCTTTGTTTTCATTCCTTTTTTGTGATGCCAATCTTGTGTAAAGTGACAGTGGGGTATGTTGCAACTGTAAATGAGTGTCTACCTAAGGAGGACTCTCCTGTACTTGTCTTCCTCTCGCTGTCACTGATGTCCTGGAGGTCAGAGAGAAGGTCCTTGTCCTCAGGCTTCTCATCCTTTGCCGCTGGACCACAAACACAACACAACATGAGCACCCTATTCACACAGAACAATTACAAGTCATGGATTTAATTTATTTTACTCTTAACTAAGTTTTGAAATTAACTACCATCAAAGCAATATTATCTAAAACCATCTTGATTGGTTAGTCTCACCAGCAGTTCTGCGTGGCTCGCTATTGTGCTCCGGTCTATCCCGGGGAGCCTGGTTGGGGATGGGGCTGCGGCTGCGGTGGCTCTGTTTGGGCTTCTCACCGTACTCATCGGGCAGCGCACGGTGGTGGGACGGAACTGTCAGAGGGGGACAACACATTTAGCTTCCTTCACCAATAATGTGTCCTTACATACATCAAAAGACGTACAGTACCAGTCAAAGGTTTGGACACACCTACTCATTCAAGGGTTTTCCTTTATTTTTTACTATTTTCTACATTGTAGAATAGTGATGACATCAAAACTATGAAATAACACATATGGAATCATGTAGTAACCAAAAAAGTGTATAACAAAATATATTTGAGATTCTTCAAATAGCCACCCTTTGCCTTGACAGCGTTGCACACTCTTGGCATTCTCTCAACAAGCTTCACCTGGAATGCTTTTCCAACAGTCTTGAAGGAGTTCCCACATATGCTGAGCACTTGTTGGCTGCTTTTCCTTCACTCTGCCGTCCGACTCATCCCAAACCATCTCAAATTGGGTTGAGGTCGGGGTATTATGGAGGCCAGGTCATCTGATGCAGCACTCCATCACTCTCCTTCTTGGTCAAATAGCCCTTACACAGCCTGGAGGTGTGTTGGGTCATTGTCCTGTTGATAAACATATTATAGTCCCACTAAACCCAAACCAGATGGATGGTGTATCGCTGCAGAATGCTGTGGTAGCCATGCTGGTTAAGTGTGCCTTGAATTCTAAATAAATCACAGTGTCACCAGCAAAGCACCCCCACACCATAACACCTCCTCCTCCATGCTTTACGGTGGGAAATACACATGCGGAAATCATCCGTTCACACACACCGCGTCTCACAAAGACACAGCAGTTGGAACCAAAAATCTCAAATTTGGACTCCAAACCAAAGGACAAATTTCCAACGGTCTAAAGTCCATTGCTCGTGTTTCTTGGCCCAAGCAGGTCTCTTCTTCTTATTGGTGTCCTTTAGTAGTGGTTTCTTTGAAGCAATTCGACCATGAAGGCCTGATTCACACACAGTCCCCTTTGAACAGTATATGTTGAGATGTGTCTGTGACTTGAACTCTATGAAGCATTTATTTGGGCTGCAATTTCTGAGGCTGGTAACTAATGAACTTATCCTCTGCAGCAGAGGTAACTCTGGGTCTTCCATTACTGTGGTGGTCCTTATGAGAGGCAGTTTCATCATAGCGCTTGATGGTTTTTGCGACTGCACTTGAAGAAACTTTCCAAGTGCTTGAAAAGTTCCGTATTGACTGACCATGTCTTAAAGTAATCTCTTTTGTTATTTGAGCTGTTCTTGCCATAATATGGACTTGGTCTTTCACCAAATAGGGCTATCTTCTGTATATCCCCCCTACCTTGTCACAACACAACTGATTGGCTCAAAAACATTAAGGAAAGAAATTCCACAAATTAACTTTTAAGTAGGCACACCTGTTAATTGAAATGCATTCCAGGTGACTACCTCATGAAGATGGTTGAGAGAATGCCAAGAGTGTGCAAAGCTGTCATCAAGGCAAAGAATAGAATCTCAAATATAAAATATATTTTGATTTGTTTTTAACACTTTTTTGGTTACTACATGATTCCATATGTGTTATTTCATCGTTTTGATGTCTTCACTATTATTCTACAACGTAAGAAATAGTAAAAAAAAAGAAAAGAAAAACCCCTTGAATGAGTAGGTGTGTCCAAACTTTTGACTGGTAGTGTACATTCACGCACACTATAAAGCTATAAACTTGAACCTTACGTGTGTGTGTGCGAATGTGCATGTGTAAAGCCTGACCTTCTCGGCGCACCTCGCGCTCTTTCCGGCGCTCCTCTGCCCTTCTCTCCCTCTCCTTCTGCTCACGCTGCTCCTTCTGCTGCTGCTCGCGGAGCTTGCGGTCCCTCTCGCGCTGGCGCTCCACCTGCTCCAACCTGTCCCTGTAGTCCGGGGAAGACGGGGGAATCCTGTCAGGAGCTCTCCAGAAACCCAAAAGCCACCCACCCCACACCGTTAATGTCTGCTTCAGGGAAGGGGAAGAGTACAGCATACAGTGTGACAGGTAACTGCACAGTAAACATGATGGCTGACCACAGTGTGACTGTTTGAGGATCTGCACGTTTAAAAGGTAGACTAAGCAATATGACATCTGATGGTTTTTTTTGGTGGTCTACGCTCTTGAAACTGTTTTGTTCAAACTTGCCCCACTCTTGGGGGTCATATTCTGATTGAGGTGTACAGTATGAGAGGCCACTGATAAACAGACATGTTGACAACTTCATACGTTTGAACACAAGTAATTTCTTTGTTCTGTAGTACATATTTGCTAATACAAGCCACGCTAATACACACGTGTGTGTGTGTGTGTGTGTATATTTGTGTGTGGTCACAGTAGTCAGTGGTCACCTCTCTCTGCGGGATTGGGCTCTGGCCTGTTCCCTGCGTTTCTGCCTCTCCCAGTCTCGCCGGGCCTTGTCTTGCTCCTCCCACTGCCGCTTTCTTCGCTCACTCTCCCTGTCCTTGTCTTTGGGCCGCACGCGTTTCCCTGCTGCTGTGATAAATACAAAATGTGACAGCGTGCTAATAGGTGCTACATATGCATAAATACAGTTTAACACCACACTATGCAGCATTCTACAGCGATACACGTCCCAGGATGGCAACGTACCTCCTTCAGCAGAGTGACTGCGGCGGCGTCTCTTGTCCTTTCTCTTCTCCTCCTTTCTGTGGTGAGATTTGTCTTTTCTGGTAATTTGCTGGGGAGGCTTTATTGCCAGCGATTCATCCTCTTCTCCCCTGGAATTGGGAAGACTGTCTAGTGCCAACGACTCAACAAACAGGCTGCCCCTGTGCATAGCAGGGTGGCGTTCAGTTGGGACAAAAATGGGAGAAAATGTATTCAAAGGAATAAGTTCAGTTTTGAAACATTTTTTCTCCATTATCGGGCCCGCCTGAACGTGACCCCAATTCCCACGGCTCTTTTTTCGCATCCCCTTTACCTGTCCTCTGTGGAATCTTCCCGTATGTACGGGGAATTCCGTATTGTTATTTCCATGTTTTTATCCCGTAGTTCTCCTTCTTCCGGAGTGTCCCGTTTGGCTTCCCGATCATCCGTCTGTGGAACAGGGCACGGAACGCACTGGACAAGACATGAGAAAGAGGGGACATTTTAGACCCACCCCCCCAAAAAACATGTTCTAAAAAAACACTGTATGGTAACCATAACAATGATTGATTGCACATAAGGTAAGATTATAATAAGTTTGAGGCACTAGTACAAGTACAGCTCTAGTCTGTGTGATACATTTAGATAAACACGATACACGATTAAGTCAAAATGGGAACCAGCATCCTCTGATGGGGGAAGAGAAACAATGTGCCCCAAATCAACCCCTAGCCCATTGTCAGGTGGAGATCTGAGCTATCAGATATGTGTAAGCAAAATGGCAAACATTTCACCTAGTTTATCAGGGGGCAAGGTGGAGCCATTTCCACATTCCTTATCCCAATCTCTTTTCAGATCTCCTCAAGTGTATAGGGGGTACTAGGGTATAGTGGTCAGTTTGGGGCACCACAGCATTTCTCTTCCGTTTACATTTTTCAGACGTTTGGGCTCCGTACTCTCCTCCAGCTCCCTTCTGCGTTTCTTCTCTTGGAGAATTTCGTCGAGTGTTTTCACTTTCCAGGTGTCCTTTTCGTCCCCCATCAGCACCCGCTCGCCACCGCCTGCTACAGAGACAGAGACCCCCTGCTTCAGACTAACACTGAGGACAATGGAAGAGCAGTGTGCACTGAGATGTGTCATATTAGTGGCAACTGTGGTATTCATGTTCAAATATTTAATTTATGTTCATTAGATATGTGATGTAGGCCTGCATGTAGCCTTTGGACAGTACATTATACAGTTCAATGCATGCGTTTCATCATTTGAGCAAAAGGTGTACATAGCTACACACACACACACACTATTTCGCACCTCGGGACAAGAGGGTTGTACGAATAAGAATTTGATGGGTAATAATAGATGGTCTTGCCCAGGATATATATATATTTTTTCTCCATCGTATAGGGTTGTAGGGGAGAGGAGGCTCAAGTTTGTAGCCTATAATTTCTGTTGTTACCTGAGTAGCGCCTCGTATCTTATCCATAGCAGTAACGTCACACTTTCACTGGTAAAAAATAAACAAAAAACCAATCCAAAAATGATGGAAGGAAAACGTCGGGGTGATAGAAAGGGGGAGAGAAGTCATACGTCCAAGTCAAATAGAGATCTACACACACGTTGCGTGAAATCTCACTGAATCTATAAATATTACTCGCCTACACTCCTTAACAGTCTGTATTACGTTACATTATCGGGATACTGCCTAACTAGCTAAGTAGCTTTAATTCGCTAGTTAGCTAGCTAGGCCCGTTGACATAAATAAACCAATTCTAAACGTTACGTAATGCCAATTAGCTTACAGCTAACGGTAGCGTTAGCAAAATTCTCAATTACTAATAGCTACTGTAATATACTAATAAGTGGTGGTCGTTAGCTAGCTAGGTACACTTTCAGATGTTAACTATCTGTGCATGCGTCTTGTAACTAGTTAGCTAGTCAGGTACAGAGCCATATATATATATATATATATATATATATATATTGATCTGGTCAGGTTCTAACGTATGCTAATAAGCTAACATTAGCATTGGCGAGAAATGAAAGCGCTGGTTACATTACGTTTTAGGTTTTTTCAGGAGCAAATTATGATTGAAATTCGTCTCCTCTCAATAAATCTGAAGTGGGTTAACTGAACGCTTTCGAATCCTTCGCATTACAAGTGATTCAACAAACCTGAAATATGCTCCGCGCAATCTTGGACCACCGGAAGACTCAAACGCTTCCTTCTTCTTTTTCCGAGGTCATTCAATTACTTCCAGTTAATATTTCTTCGCTGGTTTTTTTTAAGCTAAGTGGACACCTTAATGCCATCACCTGGACAGGAGTTGCAACTGTTTCTAGGTGCAAAACGACGGATACAAGCAAACAAAAAAACAATTTCCAGACCTAATGCAGTATAAAAATCTATTTTATTAATCATGTGTATGCTGTACATTATCGATTATTAAACATCATTACACCTCATAAAATTCACATTAACAGCTCCCCAAAATATACAATTAGGACCCTCATTGACAATTTTAATGAACATTTCCCCTTTTTTTGTTGTATTAGCAGTAGGTCTATTTTTATATATTTTCATCCCTTACCAGGGATTGACATTAAGGGTTGCCCTATTGCCTGGGGCAAGTTAATTGAGTAGCCGTGTAAGCCTGCCCTGAGGTCAGAATATCTTCTTTTTTTTTTATGTGAAAATAACCAAACTGCAAAGAATTTCAGTAGCCTCCCAATTGTCTAAGTGAAAGACAGACAATTGATGGTATTTATGGGAGTCAGGCAAGTTGAGCCTGCTCTGAATTCCAGTATTGATCTTTTTTATTTCTACCCTGTTTAGGTGAAAGGCAGGCAATATATGACATTTCTGTAAGTAAATAACTCATTTACATTTTCAGCAAGTGATCATAATCTTCGGGCAAACAAAACATACTCTTGACTTGCACGATGGCCTTTCAGACTTGAATGTCAATCCCTGCTTACTCCTACACAATACTTCTCTCTTTCATCCTTGTGACTCACAGATTTTGAGGTATAATATTGTGACATATTGCTAGAGGCATTAATTAAATGAGAAAAGTGGCTATAAATCAGTGTAAAACTACTATGTCCGGTTCATATGACAACCAACAACACAATTCTTTTGGGGAATGCATCAACATGAAATCTCAGTCCACAGGTTTCTTTAAAAAAGACAGAGGCCTCTCTTTTATGAGTGATACAGTACTTACAAAATACAACCAAAAAACGAGGTTCTGAGCAAATTCTCAGAGAATGAGACGAAAAGGTCACCTGGTGAGAATTTCACTTAGCAGTCGAAATTATGTAACCTTTGATATACCCCATCGGTTAAACATTTTGAAGTCTACAGTAAATATCTTAATCACAGCAGTCTTATCAACACTGGACCATCAGCGAAAATCACATTTTGGCAAGAACATGAATACAGAGAAACAGCCCTAGAGGCACAATTCATGTGCAAGTAAAGTGGCACTAGTAAAATAATTCAAAGATTTAACAAAATCAGTCAACAGGAGTCAGAAAGAACTTGTAACTTGTATCTATAAAACATTTATTAATTACAATAGTCAGGGAACACAAGATGACATTCTAGTCCAATTCACATAAATAATCTGTCCAAATTTGAGACATCCGCATATTGGGAAGAGCCAACAGTGCCAGTCTTGACAAATTCAAACATTCCTTTGTTGAACTTGTTGTTAGTCTGAGAAAAGCACCATATCATAACAAAACCAAGGAAATGCCAGTGCCATTCACTCAAGCAAACAGACACATTTCCTGTTTAAGTCAGCTTCCCCTTACAAAATGTAGTCAGTTCTGTAGTTTCACTTCATCCTATCCAACTGACGACACTTTCACCATAGACAAAGGACAAAGATGAGAACCAGTTTTACCAAACCTAAGCTCAATAGAGATGTTGAACCAGATTAGGTTGGAATTCAATCATTGCACCTAGCTCTTTCAACCCACAGGACTGCCAAATATTGAATGAAGTTGGCAACTCCCTCTATCCAGGATAAACTGTGGTGTAAATCAAACAAAACAAAACTGCAACGATTGAATTCTTGCCGTGGTCTGTGTCAGGGGTGCACAATTCCAGGGGCATATTCATTATGCCGAGTTTGTTGCAAAACGTTTCTTAAACGGAAGCAAATGGAACGAAACGGGGAGGGACCTACCTGAATTTGTCCAATAGAAACTCGTTTTGCTCTTTTTGCTTCCGATTGGTTCTTAAACAGTTTCTGTAATGAATATACCCCTGTCCTTGGGGGCCAATGTGCTGCTGGTTTTTGTTTCTCCCTGGTGCTTATTTGCTCAAATAGTCAGGGAAGTCACCCACCTGGCTATGCTGGTATTATTTAGTCCCAAGTTACAAGGCAAGGACGAAAACCAGGATAGAATGCAGGCCTAGAGATGTACACCCACTGTCTGCTCACTTATTCTCCCTCTACTGGCAGGCAGCGTTGAGTAAACCAGTCTTTGGAGATTCCTCAACAGAATTGATATAATTTAGCTTGTTTAATGCAAATATTAAATTACATCACCCAAATGGTAATATACAGAAATGACAGAGGAAATTGTTAAAATGGTTGAGACCTTGGGCGTTTCACAACCCGAATGACTAAAATTACATTCACTGTTAAAAAAGAATGCAAAGACAATAAAGGAATGTACTCAAGACAAATTACAATTCCATGTACAGTATGCTCAGCACTTAAAGAAATAAAGTACATCAAATAAGGTACATCAAGTCATTGGCACCTTACAGTGAAGTCCCTTTTAAAGCCAAATATTCAACTGACTCTTAGCGAATAACAGGGTTCAATGTGGCACATAACGTAAGACTTGGGTGTGGAAGGCTACACAATGCACAAAAGCCCAAATCAATCTCTCAACACCTATCTATGACGAAACTGAAGGAACCTTTCAGGTTCTGTGCAAGAAAAACAAGAAAAAAAACAATCAACACAATAGTAACAGAGAAGGCTTTGAGAAAAAAATGGTTGCAAGGTGATTTTGTAAGAACTGCACATTATAATGGTCCTCTGTAGCTCAGCTGGTAGAGCACGGCGCTTGTAATGCCAAGGTAGTGGGTTCGATCCCCGGGACCACCCATACACAAAAATGTATGCACGCATGACTGTAAGTCGCTTTGGATAAAAGCGTCTGCTAAATGGCATATTATTATTATTTTATTTGATCTCCGCAGACTGCACTCAAGGTTTTCAAATATTTCACATTGCTGTGAGAAGTTCAGTGTCAAAGGTGAGCTTTGGGAAAACAAATAAAATGTTACTCTCCCTACCTCTACTCCCCTGAGGGTAAGACAGACACACCTTTGTAGTCAGGTTAATGGCTCAAATATTTGCTTTCACTTGTGACTAGTTAGTATACAACTGAGCTAATGCCCTATTAGAATTAATAAATGCCTTGACTGTTCTACCTTATGATGCACCGTGGCTAATTATCGGGAGAATAAAGCTGTTTTGTCAACGAGAATGTGTGCCCATAATCAATGGAGAAAGAAATGTATGCCAAAAAAATAGACTTGCATTTAACCACTTCCACCAATGAACATTGAGAGAAATCCTGAGTTTACACTTTGTTTGAAAACATATGAAATAATGAAACATTTAAGGCGAGGGAATGGAATAACTAAAGGAATTTACAGTGTAAAAGTGAACGGTGAAGTGAAGTCTGAAGGTCTGGCCATCTGGCCGAGTGCTTGTTTAAACACGCCAGACCAGGGGCCTCATTTATCAACTGTGCATACTTTTCTTACTAAATTCTGGCATACTAGGATTCTAGGATTTACATCAGGGCCGGATTACCAAACGGTCACACAGGGCACGTGCCCAGGGGCTCCCAACCTTTTTTTTGGGTTGTGGGTCTCCTGGAGGTCAGACAGGTAGCATATTATAGAAAAAAATTGTAGAATTGCAGGAAATAAGCTTTAAACTGCAACATTTTCTCTCAGCCTCATGGCAAAATGTGAACAATAGCATGAGATGAGCTATAAAACAGCACATTTATTTTCCTGGGGGCCCAAATGCGGTAGTCCGGCCCTGATTTGCCTGTGCAACAAATTATTGGGATTTATCAAACTGTGGCACGGAACATATAAGCATGTTTTATTGATAAACTATATTTGTGTGTTCGTGAACAACCCCGCCTGGAAAACGCCCTCTATTTACTTTTTATGGTAAGAACAACGCCTTAATTTCCTGTGTGATTTGGAGATGTTGGAACTGAGCCATGATAGTTGCTAAAAGAAAGCGCAATGGCAAATGTGATCATATTTCTGTAGAGGTGTGGGCAGAATGTTTTAATCTTTTGTAGTGACATTTCTTAACAAAAAATGCATGCCGCCTATAGCTAGTGCCAAACACTAGTCGCACATTCTGCAAGATTGATTGTCTATTGAACAATTTAAAACTAAATGCTTCCTACAGCCCACACTTCTATGCAAAATACAAATTGTTCAATATTTTGTTTATCAATACATGATTGTGTTTCTATCTCCTGCCTTGGTATATGCTCTGAGATTAAATAGGTTATTATGTCATGCTCCTATTGCACAGCCTACCCATACTGTCATAGGCTACCGGTTTATTTACTTTCAAGCATGGTTGGCTGTTGAATTAGCAATGGATAAATGGTAGCTGTTGTGTAGCTGGAATAAACCAGTCATGTCAGAAAAGTAGAGACATGCCCTGCAATATGATTATGATTTAGGCCTATATAAAACTAAAATAAATATATTAGGCGACATGCGGCTATGCAATCTTCTTACCAACGGCAAATGCATCAGTTTTATCATTAGGCCTATACCTTTTAATATTTGTATTATCCTACCATTATTATAATTCCTGTGCAACAAACACCTCCATTTCCCCCAAAATAACTATATTTGCTTGCAATATAGTTGATCAACGACTAAAAGTTGTGTGTACGCTTGTCCTGAGATTTGCGTGGAGACACGCACACTTTCCCATCAAGTTCAAAATGGATAAACACCAAACATTGAGGGCTAACTGGCGCAGAAAAGTAAAGTATTTTGTTGTGCGCATGCACCTTTGATAAATGAGGCCCCAGGTGTGGGCAAACTACGGCCTTGCCAGATCCGGCCCACGAGCCCATTCAATCCGACCCACGGGAGGTAAAAAAAGTAACAAATTAGTTGTTTTTTGGGGAGGGGGAATTATTGTTTTGGGTTAAAAAAAACACTCCAGGCCACACTTGAATGTCTAAAACTAGGTAGAAAATATGTCAAACTATAACAGACCTATATATTTTCAAATAACTGGAATGTTTCTGGCCCAAAAATAGATTTTGACAAACATATCAGCAAAAAATAAAGCTGTGTGGCCCTCCGTTCAATTTAGAAATCACAGCTGCACCTGTCCATAGTCAAACACTGGTCTGCGTTCAGACCACACACTAAGGCAAGTTCACATAGGTATCAGAGTGCATCAAGGTGAGGCCGAATGAAACCTCAAGAGAAACCAGTCTCTCAAATTGACCATTCCGACTGAACGAAACCTCACTTGAGTGACAGATCCTTCCACCGTGCTATGATGACCGTTGACTTCCCTCATTCGTCGTACTGCTGGCGCGAGTCAAAACGTGGTCTAGTCAAATCCTCTGCGTATCAGGTTCTACATGATCAAAGTTAGAGATAAGATACCTTTTTGGTCTCTCCCCATTGGTCTCCTGGGGAGTCTATCGGTCCGATGCTTTGAGCTTGTGGTCCTGCAGTAGTGGTTTGTAGTGTTGGTCCTGAGCCTGGGCGTGGGCCAGGGCCTGTAAGGTGTCTCTCTGAAACTGCTTGGCCTTGTTGTACAGCAGCACGCCCACAAACACCAGGGCCGTGCCGGCGGCGCTGAGCACCGTGATGTGGTTACTGAACAAGATGATGCTCAGCCAGACAGACAGGGCGTGCTTCACTGTGCTGGCTACACTGTGGAGGCAAGGGGAGGGGGAGGGGGAGGGTGTTAGACGCTGCTGCAGGCAGCCTGCCTGTCTAAATGCGATGACTGTCAAGGATAATAGTGCTACCTGAAAGTGTAATAGTGCTACCTGAAAGTGACTGGGTGGGGGGGCATCTCAATAGTTTCACGTGGCTCTCTATCCTTATCTACTTTCCTTCATCTGCACTGAGGTAAAAGAACTGAAGGGAATGATGGCTAACTGCAATGAGATACCCCCTGCCTGTGTGTGTCAGACACCTACCTAAAGGTGACGGGAGAGATGCGTCCCATGAGGGCGTAGGCGGTGACACTCTGCAGGTGGAACAGGACCCCATCAAACAGCAGCAGCAGAACGATGTCTGGACTCCAGCTGAACGAACGCCCACTCTTCCCAATCACTGGAATGTCCTGGAAACACAAAGGAGCATGGGAGAACACCTTCAAACTGTTACTGTGGCACTCACCCAAACCAAATATCAGGTCAAGTCACTAACTTTCCACGTTCATTCCAACTTAAAACGCAAACATTAATTTCACTGCTTGTTTTTAAAGCAACAATTTTTCAACATAATACCAGTATTTTGGCTATCATTATGATGGCAATAGTATTTTATCATTTGTATCTGCCATCAGTAGCCTTGGCTGCACAACACAGTACTATGCTGAATAAAAATATAAACACAACATGTAAAGTGTTGGTCCCATGTTTCATAAGCTGAAATAAAAGATCACAGAAATGTTCAATACATACAGTGGGGGAAAAAAGTATTTAGTCAGCCACCAATTGTGCATGTTCTCCCACTTAAAAAGATGAGAGAGGCCTGTAATTTTCATCATAGGTACACGTCAACTATGACAGACAAATTGGGAAAAGAAATTCCAGAAAATCACATTGTAGGATTTTTAATGAATTTATTTGCAAGTTATGGTGGAAAATAAGTATTTGGTCACCTACAAACAAGCAAGATTTCTGGCTCTCACAGACCTGTAACTTCTTCTTTAAGAAGCCCTCCTGTTCTCCACTCATTACCTGTATTAACTGCACCTGTTTGAACTCGTTACCTGTATAAAAGACACCTGTCCACACACTCAATCAAACAGACTCCAACCTCTCCACAATGGCCAAGACCAGAGAGCTGTGTAAGGACATCAGGGATACAATTGTATACCTGCACAAGGCTGGGATGGGCTACAGGACAATAGGCAAGCAGCTTGGTGAGAAGGCAACAACTGTTGGCGCAATTATTAGAAAATGGAAGAAGTTCAAGATGACGGTCAATCACCCTCGGTCTGGGGCTCCATGCAAGATCTCACCTCGTGGGGCATCAATGATCATGAGGAAGGTGAGGGATCAGCCCAGAACTACACGGCAGGACCTGGTCAATGACCTGAAGAGAGCTGGGACCACAGTCTCAAAGAAAACCATTAGTAACACACTACGCCGTCATGGATTAAAATCCTGCAGCGCACGCAAGGTCCCCCCTGCTCAAGCCAGTGCATGTCCAGGCCCGTCTGAAGTTTGCCAATGACCATCTGGATGATCCAGAGGAGGAATGGGAGAAGGTCATGTGGTCTGATGAGACAAAAATAGAGCTATTTGGTCTAAACTCCACTCGCCGTGTTTGGAGGAAGAAGAAGGGTGAGTACAACCCCAAGAACACCATCCCAACCGTGAAGCATGGAAGTGGAAACATCATTCTTTGGGGATGCTTTTCTGCAAAGGGGACAGGATGACTGCACCGTATTGAGGGGAGGATGGATGGGGCCATGTATCGCGAGATCTTGGCCAACAACCTCCTTCCCTCAGTAAGAGCATTGAAGATGGGTCGTGGCTGGGTCTTCCAGCATGACAACGACCCGAAACACACAGCCAGGGCAACTAAGGAGTGGCTCCGTAAGAAGCATCTCAAGGTCCTGGAGTGGCCTAGCCAGTCTCCAGACCTGAACCCAATAGAAAATCTTTGGAGGGAGCTGAAAGTCTGTATTGCCCAGCGACAGCCCCGAAACCTGAAGGATCTGGAGAAGGTCTGTATGGAGGAGTGGGCCAAAATCCCTGCTGCAGTGTGTGCAAACCTTGTCAAGACCTACAGGAAACGTATGATCTCTGTAATTGCAAACAAAGGTTTCTGTACCAAATATTAACTTCTGCTTTTCTGATGTATCAAATACTTATGTCAAGCAATAAAATGCAAATTAATTACTTAAAAACCATACAATGTGATTTTCGGTATTTTTGTTTTAGATTCAGTCTCTCACAGTTGAAGTGTACCTATGATAAACAATTACAGACCTCTACATGCTTTGTAAGTAGGAAAACCTGCAAAATCGGCAGTGTATCAAATACTTGTTCTCCCCACTGTATTTCTCTCAAATGTTGTGCACAAATTCATTTACATCCCTGTTAATTAGCATTTCTCCTTTGCCAAGATAATCCATCCATCTGACAGGTGTGGCATATCAAGAAGCTGATTAAACGGCATGATCATTACACAGGTGCACCTTGCTGGGGACAAGAAAAGGCCAGTTTTGTCACAACACAATGCCACAGATGTCTCAAGTTTTGAGGGAGTGTGCAATTGGCATGCTGACTGCAGGAATGTCCACCAGAGCTGTTACCAGAGAATTGAATGTTCAGCGTCCAATGTTCAATGGGCCAATGTCGTTTTAGAGAATTTGGCAGTACGTTAAATCGGCCTCACAACTGCAGACCACGTGTAACCACGCCAGCCCAGGACCTCAAAATCTGGTTTCTTCACCTGCGGGATTGTCTGAGACCAGCCACCCGGTACGGGCAGGCATAAGCTACGGACAACGAACACAATTTCAATTTGAATGCACAGAGATACCGTGGCGAGATCCTGAGGCCCATTATCGCGCCATTCATCCTCCGCCATCACCTCATGTTTCAGCATGATACTGCACGGCCCCATGTTGCAAGGATCTGTACACAATTCCTGGAAGCTGAAAATGTCCCAGTTCTTCCATGGCCTGCATACTCACCAGACATGTCACCCATTGAGCATGTTTGGGATGCTCTGGATCAACGTGTACGACTTCGTGTTCCAGTTCCCGCCAATATCCAGCAACTTTGCACAGCCATTGAAGAGGAGTGGGACAACATTCCACAGGTCACAATCAACAGCCTGATCAACTCTATACTGATTTACTGATATGAACTGTAACTCAGTAAAATCCTTGAATTGTTGCATGTTGCTTTTATATTTTTGTTCAGTGTATATTCAAAACAAATTGAGACCGGTACACACTAGGCTACACAATATACTCCAGGGTAGAGAGCTGCATTGTGGGCCCTGCACAGTCATTTTTTCATGGACATTAACTTCCTAAACATAATAGGCTATAGTTTAGGCTCCGACATTGACTGGAAATAAATATTGATAGCACGTCTGCCTGCAAATTGTCCCACATTTATCAAATGTATGCAAGATTATTTCAAAAACGTTTGTCTTTGTTTTGTAGGCTATTCGTTATCTATTGTATTAAAAGCAATATTCACAAACTCTAATAGGCTACTTCTTGCTGATTTACGTTCAGTAGCCTACATTTCTTCTCTTTTGTTGGGCATGTGGGATCATGTGCGCCTATGTGTGTTCTCAATTAACTCTAAGCCGTTCGGGGGAGGGGGGGTACTAAGCTAACATAGGGAATTGTTTTAAGATGGTCATACCATAGATCAATTAGCTATTTGATTTAGAATTTTAGGAGCTCTTTAGGTACATTTACATTTTAATTTAAATAAAATATTGAATTTGGCCTACTATAGCCCATAGAAACGCATTCATTGAATAACACATTCAAAAAATAAATCATAAGGTGTCTGTCCTTTATCTAAGAAATATAAGAAAGCTTAGGAAATATGATTTTTTTTTAAATACTTATTTAACCCCTTATTTTTGTTGGCACAAAACTATCTCCATACTTCCATTCATTTGCATGGGTTACCTTCAGACGGGTCCCGTTACACACTTGTGGAGGTCATAGAGCAAAACAGAGAACACCATCGTGTTTGTGAGAGTCATCTTTCTACAGTGGAGTCATATTAGTTTGTAGCCCAAGCGGTTTGGAAGCTACAGAAAGATGGTCTGACAAACACCGCTGTAGCTCGGCCACCTTCCACTGCAGATGCGGAAGTCCGACATAGGCGGATGCGGTGGATTGAGACGCAGCCCATGCTGATGGATTTCGATGCCATTTTTTAAAATTATGTTACTTCGATAGATGCACTGGTGCATCAATCGACTCTTAAGTAATAAATAGCCTGTAGACAAGTCTATATGGGCGGAGAAGCACGGTGCAGTTGTCTTTAACTTCCTAAAGTTTAGACTATGACATTGACTGGAAATAAATATTGATAACACGTATTTTACTCTGCTTGCAAATTGTTCAGCTCCTAACAGTGATGCAAAATGTAACTCAAGTTAAGTAGCCTAAGTGTCCACTCTCCTATATTTCGCCCCAACTCTAATCTCTTTCAAACGCAATGCAGAATATATAGGGCCCTAGATACAGTGCCTTGCAAAAGTATTCAGACCCCTTGGATTTCTTCACATTTTATTGTGTTACAAAGTGGGATCAAAATGGATTTAATTGTAATTTTTTTGTCAATCTACACAAAATACTCTAATGTCAAAGTAGAAGAACAATTCTAACATTTTTTAAATAGTAAATCGCATACAGTTGAAGTCGGAAGTTTACATACACCTTAGCCAAATACATTTCAACTCATTTTTTTACAATTCTGACAATTAATCCTAGTAAAAATGCACTGTCTTAGGTCAGTTAGGATCACCACTTTAATTTAAGAATGTGAAATGTCAGAATAATAGTAGAGAGAATGATTTATTTCAGCTTTTATTTATTTCATCACATTCCCAGTGGGTCAGAAGTTTACATACACTCAATTAGTATTTGGTAGCAATGCCTTTAAAATTGTTTAACTTGGGTCAAACGTTTCGGGTTGCCTTCCACAAGCTTCCCACAATAAATTGGGTGAATTTTAGCCCATTCCTCCTGACAGAGCTGGTGTAACTGAGTCAGGTTTGTAGGCCTCCTTGCTCGCACACGCTTTTTCAGTTCTGCCCACACATTTTCTATAGGATTGAGGTCAGGGCTTTGTGATGGCCACTCCAATACCTTGACTTTGTTGTCCTTAAGCCATTTTGGCACAACTTTGGAAGTATGCTTGGGGTCATTGTCCATTTGGAAGACCCATTTGCGACCAAGCTTTAACTTCCTGACTGATGTCTTGAGATGTTGCTTCAATATATCCACATACTTTTCCTTCCTCATGATGCCATCTATTTTGTGAAGTGCACCAGTCCCTCCTGCAGCAAAGCACCCCCACAGCATGATGCTGCCACCCCCGTCCTTCACGGATGGGATGGTGT